GAAGAGAGCGAGGCGGCATTTAGTTTTTACGCTTCTCGTCTGTGGAACACTCTTTCACTGAGAACTATTCCAACTATAGGTGTGTTAAAACTTGCCCTTAAAATCTGGCTATATGTCACAGCATTTACACAAACTTATTGACTCTCAAAATGTTTTATTATTTATATTTATTTTTTTGATTACAGATGTATGCATGTGTGTATGTGAATGTATGTGTACAGCATGCAGGAGGTACAGTATAAACATCTAAATATATAAATATATATAAATGTAATGTATTCTATGCATGTTTCTGCTCCTTAAAATGTTTTATAGGTTGTTTCTTTGTGAATGGTGCTTTATAAATACACTTGCCGTACCTTGCCTTGCCTCAGACTCAGCATTTAGCGCACTATTTTTGAAGGACAGTGTTTTTGAATGGCAGCTTGGACAGATGCCAGGATCAGTTTATTATTAAGTCTCAGTGTTGGTGTTGAGTGCATGGGCTCTTGACACATGATTCAGCGTTTGCGTTCAGCCTTTTTGCAACATTTATCATGGGTCAACAAGTAAGCAGGAAAGGCCAGGATCGCTCATGTGAATCTTTGGTTTTCTACACTAAAATGCAGGCCAACAGCACACAGGATGTCAATATTGGGGCAGGGAATAAAAACTTTGCAAAATGATGTTGTTTAGTGCATGGAGACATCAGGGTGGCGAGTTGCACGACCCGTCTGGGCTAGTTCTGTACAGTAAGGAGGGGGTACAGGAGAAAGTTTACAAGTTGTTACTCCTTTAATATGGTCTTTAACGCAGACAGAAATTGTGATAATGAATCGCAAGGATGTTGTTTTGTGTCACATTTACTATATATTTACTATTCATTAGAACACGTCAAACAGTCACGTTAAATACACACATACATTGCACACAACATGTATCAACAACGATTTTAAGGTTCTTTTAATGGTCTTTAAATGTCTTAATGGTCTTGGGCCTTCTTATCTTTCAGATTTGCTTTTATCCTATGAGCCTTCCCGGCCCCTGCGCTCCTCCGGCAGCAGACTCCTAACCATCCCCAAAGTCAGGACACACACTCACGGCGAGGCATCTTTCCAGCACTACGGCCCCCGTCTCTGGAACAGTCTGCCGGAGGAGCTCAGGGCCGCAGAGAACGTTCATATTTTTAAGAGTAGGCTCAAGACGCACCTTTTTAGAGCAGCTTTTGATTAGTATTTATTATCTATTATTGCTTTTTAGTACATCTATTTATGTTTTTAGACGGATTATATTTTTATTTATTTTTATTATTTACTATTTTTAATTATTTATTGTATCTACCCATTTACTATTGTTATTATATTAGGCAGCTGCCATTTTTCTTTTTATTTTCACATTCTATTGTTCTACTTTCTATTGTATTATTGTATTGTTTTAGTGTCCCCAGTGTTTCCTCTGGAGGAGCCCTCTGCACTGAGAGCTGGGGTCTGCTGTGGCTTCGGGGGACTGGCTCTTGGATCCGGTGGGGGTCTGGGGCCTCCTCTCTCCTCTGGGTCCTATGGGGTCTGAGTCCTGGGCCTGGTGGGGTCTGGGGCCCCTCTCTCCTCTGGGTCCTGTGTCGTTCCCTGTGGCTGCAGCCGGCTCTCTGCTCCTGGTGCAGATGGCTCCTTGGATGACGCTTCTTCAGCCGGTTACATCTGCTCCCAGCCCCATTTCTTTTTATTGTTTTACCTATTTTACCTGATATGACTTTATACTTGTGTATATATGTGTGTGTGTGTGTGTGTGTGTGTGTGTGTGTGTGTGTGTGTGTGTGTGTGTGTGTGTGTGTGGGTGTGTGTATTGTATATATAATTATAAATGTGATTTTGGGGGGTCTGTGGGGAGGAGGGTTTAGGGCTGGGCATGTTGGATTGTTTTTAACTAAACTGTAAAGCACTTTGTGTTACACTTTTTGTATGAAAAGCGCTTTATAAATAAAATTTGATTGATTGATTGAACAAAGAACTACAAGGAACAGAAAAGCTCACATGGTTGTGCCTCAGGACATTTATGCAGATTTATTCTCAACCTGAAATGTATAAGCAAAGAAGGTTGCTGTTTTTTCTTGTTAAGTGTTACACATTTTATGTTTGAAAATGTTAGTTTGGCTTAAAAAAGTCAGTCAGGGCCCAGCGAGGGTATAGCAAACACGATTCAGGGGACTAATGGGATTCCAATTAGGGAAATAATAACTTTGAATGGCCACTATAACACACATTGTGAAATTGTAGAATATTTTTTTTCACTAGTTTGTGGTGACAAATAAGAGAACTATATTTGAGGAAGTAGATGTTGATGCATTTAATAAAAGTTCTCTTCTTGTTTACTATGTGCAAGCAAGTAAGTAATCTTTATTTGTATACCGCCTTTCACAGACCAGAGTCACAAAGCTGTTTACAATTGTTATTTTTGGGCATTTTGTCCTCCACTCTACTCCACAAAGAGATGGGAGCGGGGTCGCCAGTACAGAAGGTGCATGCAGAGCTATTGTACATGTTTTTAGTGGTAGGGGAAATTGGAGCACCCGGAGGAAACCTATGCAGACATGGGGAGAACATGTAAGCTCCACTCAGAAAGGCCCTGGTCCGACCGGAATTCAAACCCAAGACCTTCTTGCTGAAAGGCAAGAGTGCTATCCACTCAGCTCATGTGTCTCTCCATGGCCTCGCACCAAAGTACGTCTGTGACATGCTGGTGCCTTATGAAGCAACTCAGAAATGTATTTTTAATAAGATAAGATAATATAGACTTTATTGATCTCAAACTGGAGAAATGTACATGTCACATTTGGCATTAATATAGCTACTGTGGTCGTTTATGTTTTAATCTAAAATTACTGTTTCAGGTTGTGTAAAGTACATGCCTTGCTTATGAATTATGCCAAACAAATTATCTTGTCTTTCCTTACAGTAAGTGTGCACCCTACACCACGCCTGCATGGTAGTGAGTAGTGATGTTACAGTGAATGACTAAGATTAGACTCTGCTGCTGCATCTTGAATCTTAAAGTATGAATGAGTAGGTGGCACTACTGTGAAGAAAAAAAGTATTGAAGTACTGAATAATAGAAGGAAGAAATGTGGGGGGTTCAGATAAAAGCATTAGAAAACAGGCAGTGACCGTGGGATTGAGTGGTCAAAACATGTAGTATATGGCACACGTGAAATTGTTTTTCTCATTGATGTTTTGTTATGATGTTAGGAAAAGTATAGTGAAGCTCCTTCAAATCCAGGACAAGGACTTTGGCAGCTGATGGGCCTGTCTCGAGGAGGAGGAGGAGGGACTTGGGACAAAAAGCAGGAGGAAAACAAGCTAAACGATTGGCTGAGTGGAGGAGAAGGGCGTGGCTCACTGTACAACATATGAACGAGAACATGTATATTTACTCAAATACTCTCTGCGACAAGCTCGTAAGTTAGAAACGTGGAAGGGAAGATTTTCACGCTGGAGTAGGCCTATTTCATTAGGAAAGAAGGATGTATTTTTAACTCAAACCAGGAAATTAACTTTTTTATTCAGGCAATATTCTTCCCTCCAGTCTGACAAGGGGACATTGCATTTCTATTGGAATATGTGGTCCATCAATTGGACTTGAGGTGGGCTTTTTATACTGAGCCTAAAGACTATATACAATACACGCAATACACGGCATTTTTTCAACACAAAACAACCATTTCGGTATTTTTTGTGGTAAGAGTTTTCATCTTTTGCTGCTATTTGGCTACTCGAAATCTCCTACTGTCGTAAAATTGCTGAGCGCACAACTAATCAGATAAGTGGAGTGAACCTTTTCGTGCCCACAAGGATTTGCCCAGACGCACGAAAACAGTGTCAAGTGTTGCCTTCCCCCCCAAAACTATAAACAATAAGTGAGCCAAAAGGGTGAATTAAACCATGTCAGACGGTCCGAGGCAACGGAGCAGCACGACGGGGTCCTCCAAGGATGCTGCGGGCGCGGAGGAGTCAGGAGGAGGGGTCGCGCTCAAGAAGGAGATTGGTCTTGTGAGCGCATGTGGCATCATCGTCGGTAAGTCCTGTTCATGTAACTTTCCCATTGAAATTAAGCATACACGTGTAAAAGTCGTAACCCAGTGAAAGTGAATTCATGACTATAGTAGAGTGAGTGAACTTGAACCACGTTTATGACGCTTGAGATAAGGATTCAGAGGTAATAACACATAACTTAAAGGTAATTAAGTTTATAGATAGTATTACTTACCCCTTTTCTTGGGTTTTAGTGAAATATAGAGGTCATTGTGTGTGATTAGGAAGAAAATCTATAATATTGAACTAATCAAAACCTGGGGATGGGTTTAAGTTAGGTCTAGTTCTGTTTCTTTGAGCACCAGGCTCACGTGATGGCTCAGTCATGAAGTAAACTACCAATGTTTTAATATAACATGGGTATTTTATTATATATGATTGCAGCCTGAACAATCCAGGCCTTTTATTCATGGATTAAACAATATATATTTTCAGTTTGGCTCATTATATAGAAAAATAAATTATAAGTAAATTGCCGTAGACAACTTTACATGGTCATAATTCAGGGCATGAGCAGAAATAGCACTAACTCCTCATTGGTTAAAGGTGGAAAGAGTGAGCGTTGAGTTGTTTCAAAGAATTTGGACATAGACCTTCTGCCATAGACAAAACATGTGATAGTGGAATAATAGACTAAATAAACGGAGAGTAGAGAGAGAATATCATAAATAGCCATGCACGATCTAATCAATAGTGTGTGTCTGTCTGCATGCTTATGTGGTCAGTCTGTGATGACCTTGAAGTGATTCAGGAGACACTGACTTATTCATTCACACGTTTCCAAGGTAACAGGGCTGAAGTCGGAAGACAGGGAGTGTTATTAGCTGTCCCAGGAGAACGAGAGATGAAAGAGGCAAGGCACAACGTTCAATTCAGTTCCAGTTTTTAAGTCTTTAACTATTTGTAGACGGGCACAGCAGCGGTTTGCCAATGGGCCACCTTTGAGGATTTATGGCAGTCCAGAGTCCATTCATTTGTAAGTCAGGCGCGGGTACCACATCTGGTCATGTGGTACCTGCACATTGAGACTTCCACGAAGCAGACAGAGCGCATGAACTTCAAATACTTTTATGGCTGGTGTTCAAAGGAATTTATCGTTCACCCACTCAGACATAAGTCCAGAAACGTGCCAAGAATCAGGATTATCAAAGTGAACTTTTGGTCATTGCAAAGATGGCCCCGCCCTGATAGTGATTAGCTGGATTGGATCAGACCAAACTATCAATACCCCAAATAAAATCATGTTTGAGTGTTCTGTGGCGAGGCTGTGGATTAGCTGTAGTGGAGTAATAATCCACATTAAGTTAATTCATGTGTGATAGTGGCACAGGGCCAAGACAAGGGTTGCTCGAGCTTGGTAGTTGTTTGAACAAGGATTTCACACTGAGAGAAAATCAAGCTGATTGTATGAGGCTTGATACTGGCTGACTATCAGGCATCTTTGATTTTTTTAATTTGAGTTTAAATAATCTACTTTTTGTGCTCACAGTCACATAACAACAAATTGCTGAGACAATGATGTCTGGCAACAAAGCATGCCTGACTCAAGACAAAAGGATGTTCAAACAGCAGAAAGAAACAGGAAACTTGTAGATTCCGCATTTGTCAGCAGACTTAAAAGTGAAGGAGATGACCGGCATATATGAGTGAAAGCCTGAAAAGGATTGCATCAGTGGACTATGAATTCTACCCAAAGGTCACGCAACGAAGACCACAAGTGCAATAAACATGTCAGCTCAACAGCAGGTGGGATGCTATCTCACCTTTGCCTTTTTACCTGCAAGTTACATAAGTTTCAATATCTACGACACATGATCCCCACGGGGCGAGTCAATGGGGGCTGTAGGGGGGGGACCATGCACGTGCACAGTTGAAGGTTCTGCATGTGATCAGCCACATGTATGGATTTAAGTTAAAGGTGCAGATAAACAAGTTTTCTGAAGCTGCAATGTATGACTTTATGGCCATTAGGATGCACCCTAGAATTTCAGGAAGGCTTGAACTTAATTTATGAACCGTTTACAAAGATAAATCTCCTTCACGTTTGACTTTTGCTCCGTAAATTGCAACTCAGCAGCATGTGCATATCTATAACCCAGAACTTTGCCCCACCTAACCTTCTGGTTTCACATTGACAATAGAAGCCTTGTCACCTATGCACATTGACCTTAGAATGGATGAAAATGTTACATAATAAAACCGTACCATTGCATTGTTCTGAACTCAACTAAACTCAACACAAAAACTTGTATCTTCCCCAAGGGGTAAATTGTTTGGATATGGTGGAGAAGAAAATAAAAAACCAAGGCCTTTTTTATTTTACGTGGTTTTAATATGGTTGTTCTCTAATTGTATTTCTTAGTTCACATTTCTTTGTTCTCTCAGCCCTCACTCTCAGTTGTGCCTTCGTCTCAGTCTAAGCGAGTACTTTTTATGATTTTTATGCTCCCACAAATCAAATTTATTACAGGTACATAAAAGAGAGGATGCAGCAGATGTGTATCAATCAAAAAGAAAGTTAATAATTATTTTTCATTTCTTGTCTTTCAGGTAATATTATTGGCTCAGGGATTTTTGTGAGTCCGAAAGGCGTCTTGGAGAATGCCAGCTCCGTAGGTGTGGCTCTCATCGTGTGGATCATCACTGGGATCATCACGGCCATTGGGGCTCTGTGCTACGCTGAACTGGGGGTCACCATCCCTAAATCTGGCGGAGATTACTCTTATGTGAAGGACATCTTTGGCGGTCTGGCTGGGTATGTATCAATATCAGATAGATACTTTATTGATCCCCGTAGGAGAAATTAAGGTGTCCAGTATCAGCAGAAACAGATCCATCCCAACAAATAAATACATAATTCTAAAAGTTACCAACATTACTATTATATGTATTATTTGCAACAGTGCTTTAGGTCCCAGCAGCAGAGGTGGTGTAGCTGCTGGGTGGAGCAATCACTTATTACTATCACTTCAAAATGTGTATCTAATATCCCAATTATACTATTCTAATATGAGCTATAAATTAATTAAGAAAATGTGACAAGAAGTGAGAAAAATACATTCATAGTGAGCTCTGGACAATGGCTGTGAGGTACAATGGAACAAAAGGTGTCTTTCCACTATTAGAAGTTTTTCTTCCATCTCACAGTGCTTTCAGTAAATAAAAGTAAATAAATATGAAACAATATCGTTTATTAGTTTCACATACTGTGCCAAACTGTGAACATCTTAGACCATTGTGTTCTCAAAGCCAAGATACATTGTGTGAGGATATTTTCGGGAACGGAATTGAGAGAGACATAACAGCCCGCGCTTGTTTTTGCACTGTGCTTATTTTAAACTTCAATGAACATTCAGGTGCTGTTTTTAGATAAATAAACGGTATTGATAGATCATTTGTTTGTGCAGGTCTTGGATCTTTTGTGCAAGTATATTACTCGAAATACTCTCCTTGCAGCTGGGCAAGCTCCTAGAAAAAGGGAAGCGATTGTAAATTGCTCCACAATTGTTCTAGTACAAAGGCTATTTGTTGAATCAGGCTAAAGCTGGTGGACAGATTACACTACTGAAGGACAACTCATAGAGACTGAATAGAAATGTATGTTTTAATAACTTTCTATGCATCTCTTTTTTTTTCTATTTTGGCCCACTGATTTTGGTATATAAACAAGAATTTTGTGTCAAGAGTGGGGGGAAGACATTGTGCAAAGTAGTGGGGCAGGAAATAGCTTTAACAGCACTGAGAATGAATTTTCTACATTAAACTCACATATGCATACCAGCCACACATAATCCTTTAAATGTAGTCAGGCGTAATGATCCCTAAGTAAGCTTTCAGAGAATAGTATAGAAAAGCCACGTTATTTTCTGTTAGTGGAGCTCCAGTGCATATGTGCGCCACTTGTGACAGGACTTACATATACCAGGTTCAATAAGGTCACAAGTAAAAGTACCGCTAACCTAAATCTGCAGACTGACTTATGGATATTGCACTCATAAGTCTGAATGACCTAAGTGACCAGGCTCCGGTCAGTAGAGGAAAAGCCTGATGCTACCTTTGACCAACCACAACATGTCATTTCAATGTCTGCATTCATAGATTATCGTTAATTGTTGACAATATTTTTTTTGTTCTGCAGATTTTTGCGTTTGTGGATCGCCGTGCTGGTCATTTACCCCACTAACCAAGCGGTGATTGCACTGACGTTCTCCAACTACGTGCTGCAGCCACTGTTTCCCACCTGCTTTCCACCAGAGATTGGCCTACGAGTCCTGGCTGGGGTTTGTCTTTGTAAGTGTCTTATGAGTATTTTAAACAGTGTTTGTTGAGAGCTTCTTACCGAAAACAAACACCACAGTTAGCGTTTCTATCTGTTCTAATACAACATTGTGCCCCAAACTTCTCTAAGCAGCTTATGGACAGGTTGCTTTAGGTCAACATCAAGCCAACTTTGTGTTTTGTAAATCCCAAATCTGCCATGATTAAGGACTTTTGATTCCCCAAATAAAAACAACATACTTTCAGATTATAACCACAATAGTCCTATTGTTATTTCAAACAGAAGTAGTCGCAACCAACTACTTATTGGTTGCTACTCCCAATATACACTTGCATTTAACATGTGGGGTTGTTCCACTTGTTGATGGATCCCTGGGGTCAACCGTCAGTCAGGAGTAAGATCTCTGCTGAAAGAACTTAAGTCAGAGTGACCCATGATGTGAAAAGATGAAAAAATGCCACAGTTGTATAATATAGCCACTGAGTAAACGGCACATTAATGTTAAATACCGCACAAGCTCGACAGAAGGATAACACCGTGAGAAACATGGACGTTGCCTTGTTCCACCCTGTAAACTCTACTACTGGGGGGGATTCTCTTTGGAAACTTGTTTTTGTGGTTTTTTATTAAAAGTCAAGAGTTACAAATCATTCAGAAGAGCATTACCTCAGCTACAGGTTTGATCATGTTTTTGTGCAACTTCTACGACCTACTTCAACAACCATCTTCTGTTAATAGCTTTGAAGAAAATCATTATGAGTTTTTTAAGGTCCTGGGTTTGATTCCACCTCCAGACCTTTCTGTGTGGATTTTGCGTGTCCTACCCGTGCCTGCGTCAGTTTCCTCCGGGTGCTCCGGTTTCCCCAGCGCTTTTTGACTTACTTACTTACTATGAATGTCAAATAGGCTATTGGGAAAAGCAATGACTTGTTATGAAGTTGTTGTTCTTGGGGGTGACTCAATGCCAGTTCCTTTCTTGATCATTGTGTAATCCTTGTTGTTCAGAGCTGTAGTTATTTATACACCTTCTGATATTTTCTGAAACCGTTTTGGTAGATCAGCTTACCTTACAATCTGGTCATGACTGGATTTTAATGGCAACCACACAAGACATCATGGTTACTTTTATCGTTGCGCAGGCATAGGCTTTTCCAAGGTGTACCATTTCAAAAACAGGGACAGGGCGGGCTCTGTCCCTGGGGTCCCATCTCTTCCTACAGATGGCACAGTAATAGGTCATAACTGTCATGTTTTCTCTGTAAGCTTGTCGTTAACTCAGCAAGTTTGAAGCTCACATGGGTGCGAACGTGCAGATGTGTGTACTCAGCTTTGGGGCCTCACATTTTCTCAGAAGAGTGCAATGGCATGGAATGTTTGTACTTTATTTGATAAAATCCCCTTAGATAATCACATATACAGTACCTTCATTGTGAGAAATGCAAATGATCAATGGACAAATTAAACAGAACACAAGGGAAGTATGTGCATGTAGTCCCTCACAGTGGTAGCCTATTGCATAACAAACACAATCCAGTGGTGGCCGATTATTTAATAGGACCCCATTGTTCTGAACCTATTGGCCTGTAGCCCTCAGAAGCACATGTCAAGTGTGAATAATCTACCATGACGGTAAAAGTCATTTAAATACTTGCTTACTTCTAATTATTGGTGCAGTCATGAAAATGGGAATTTGCTAAACACTGTACTTCAGCTCGGCATTGTAACGAAGGTCTGCAGAGATAAGCTGTCATTGTCAGGGCCAAAGATTGCAGCAGATTTTTTTAAAGGCATATTCTTAATCTTTGCACCTAGTGTGATGTTCTATTACAACAAGGCCATTGTCCCAATTTCTTGCAGTGTAATTTCATCACAAAAAGTAATTTAATCACAAAAAGTAATTTATAAGTTAAATTGTTAAATTTTCCCTTTAGATTGCAAAGTGTTCAACCTAAATCTGGTATGACTTGTTAGGATGAGATGTATAAGTGATGTATTAGTTTAATAACAATGTTTTCTTCTATCTTCAGTGCTATTGACATGGGTGAACTGCTCCAGTGTGCGATGGGCGACCAGAGTCCAGGACATCTTCACTGCCGGAAAACTCTTAGCTCTGTTGCTCATCATTGTTATGGGCATTGTGCAGATCTGCAAAGGTAGCCCCAGTATTCAGGGTCAGTGGGTTGGTGAGGGCCTTGTAGTTAAAACCTTAGATCTATAGTTCTATGGTTAAAACTCACAAAGCTGAAGTCAGCAGCGAACCTCTGCGGGTCTGCAAACACAACACGAGAGCCAGTTTCTATTGGGACCAAAGAACAGAGGACCCTGAAACAACAAGACGATGAAAGGGTTCAGTGGATGAGTTTGTGAGGAGGGAAAAAAGGCACAAAAGATATCAAATAGTTAATTGATCAACAGTGATTACAGACAGTGTAGATTGATTGAATTCCAACACATAATCTAATCATGGCATGTCTTTTATCTACAGGGGATTACTATTGGCTGGAGCCAGTCAATGCCTTCGAGCCCTTCCAGGACTATGATGTGGGTTTGATAGCGTTATCGTTTTTACAAGGCTCGTTCGCCTACGGGGGTTGGAACTTTCTAAACTATGTGACAGAAGAGCTGGTGGATCCATATGTGTAAGCACTATTAATGAATATACACAACATACTATTGGTCTATGCAATTCCAACCTGAATCTTTTATAACTAGTGAAATATAAAGAAATGTAGAAAAAAATATTTATGAAAGTGTGAGGGCACAGGATCAGTTAGTACATGTACAAGGAAATAATTCTAATAGTGTGTCTTTGTCTTTTCTTCCGTCAAAATGTCTCCTAACCTCCCTTTGTGATCTGCAGCAATCTTCCACGTGCCATCTTCATCTCCATCCCCCTGGTGACTTTTGTCTATGTCTTTGCAAACATTGCTTACGTCACAGCGATGAGTCCCCAGGAGCTGCTGGCTTCAAATGCTGTTGCAGTGGTAGGTACCTTTGATATGGGAGGAGAGACACTCTGTCTCCCTCTGTTGGTGACAATTAAATAATGTATGAACGTTCCTACATGTGACTTATTGGATACTATGAATTAATAATGCACATTTGATTTAATGTATTATTACGTTTTTATGTTTATACAGACGTTTGGTGAGAAACTCCTTGGGGTCATGTCTTGGATCATGCCTATTTCTGTGGCTTTGTCGACCTTTGGAGGAGTCAATGGATCCCTCTTTACCTCTTCACGGTCAGTTGACGCATCAGTTCATTTATGTTTGTTTTTATTACTGCGATAAAGTGTTTATTCTAAAAACATGTGTTCATCTTTTGCAGTTTGTTCTTTGCTGGAGCAAGAGAAGGCCACCTCCCCAGCCTTTTGGCCATGATTCATGTCAAACGCTGCACTCCCATCCCTGCTCTGCTCTTTACTGTACGTAACAAATACATTAGACAGTTGTGAAAACAGTTTGACACCTTGTTATAGACGTGTTGTGACTGTGTTGCTTTGTTTATCAGTGTATATCTACTTTGCTGATGCTGTGCACCAGTGACATGTACACTCTTATCAACTATGTGGGCTTCATCAACTACCTCTTTTATGGAGTCACTGTTGCCGGGCAGATTGTGTTACGAATCAAACAGCCAGACATACACCGACCAATCAAGGTAAATAAACGTGCAACAATTATTTTCCTTTTGCACAATCTGAGTGTTCTATCCATGCCAAACGTGACATGTAAATTTCTCCTTGTGAGATAAATAAAGCATATCTTATCTTATTATCTTATCTTATGCTATATTCTCTTATGTGAGCCAAAGCTTTATACTTGTTTGTTTCACTTTCAGATCAGTCTGATTTGGCCGGTCATTTACCTTCTTTTCTGGGCTTTCCTGCTCATCTTTTCCCTTTACTCTGAACCCGTGGTGTGTGGCATCGGCCTGGCCATCATGCTCACCGGTGTCCCCGTCTACTTCCTGGGCGTCTACTGGAAAAACAAGCCCAAGTGCTTTGACACCTTAGTTGGTAAGTCATAAAAGAGAATACATTGTTATTTTTAAATGAATTCATCCCATTAACATACAATATCTCTTTTATCCAGACAAATTGACATATCTGGGCCAAAAGTTGTGCATGGTGGTGTACCCGGCAGTAAGCAGTGGTGAAGACGAAGGACAGGAGATGACAGAGGCCAAATCTCCTTTGTCGAAACAGGACGAAGACAATCTTAAAGCAAACTGCTAAAAAAGTGCCAGTATTTTACAAATCTAATCCACTCATTGTCTGATGCTTGAGCAGACAGAGAGAGCGACGCACACATTTCTGTTCTCCATGTAGGTAATTCATATTGGGTTTGGATTTTACACCATAGTCATGTAAATGCCAACTATGGCACTGATTAAAATGATCCATTTTTTTAGGGGTCCTTCAAAGGTGCAATACATATTCTTAATACATGTGTCTTACATTTTATAAATATTAGTCCCTTTATCTCACCTAAAGCCACACACTTTGTACACTCCGACTGCATTTTTTATTGTAACAAACAAATCACACAACACATCTTGATTTCTTTGTCTCACAAATATCACACCAAAGCTGATTATTTTTTCAGCCATCAATCCTCAACTATCTTCATTTTTTTTTAAATGCAAATCTATCCGAGTACAGTGTTGTAAAGGCTACTGTGATTCCACTGTTTTTTATTTTGATAATTTTGTACATTTTATGTTGTGTTATTAGTTTTGATAAATTAATTGCAGTTTTGTTCATAGCCTGTTTCTATACAGTAGCATTGCAAGTGCACAATTATAATTTGCCTAAATAGAAAATAGATGTACACACTACAATAGTTTGAATTCATGTTGTGCCTCTTGTAAACTCAAACCAAATATATAAAACAAATAGGCAAATGCATTGCCCTTTATTTCTTAACTTATTTTAGCTCTCATCTTACTCTTTTTTTAAATGATTATGTACATTCGACAGGAAGAAATATTTTTTGTATGATATTTTAGTGCAGCAAGGATAAACACCAGCAAGAAGAAAAAACAGACTTGCGGGATATTTTTTTAAGTTGTCTGCCAAATTGTGAGTCTATGTTGACTTAAATATATTTGTCCCAATGTAACATTTGTGTCTCAGGGCATTACCACTACTTTTCTGAAACACAGCTGCCAAACAGACAGTGTGAGTGGGTGTGGCTCACTGTGCTCCGCTGGAAATGTATCTGTTAATATCATTACAGCCTTTAGATTTGTACTCCTCAGGAAGTCCCCATTTTAGCAGTTCATACGCGCATGATTGAACCACGAGAGTGTAGAGAAACAGGGTGCCTGAAGTCCAATGTGTGTTTTGGTATGAAGAGTATTAACATAAAACACAGGTTGTATGTTGGCTTAAAATAAAAACCACTGACAGTTGTCTTTATAAGTCACCAGGTCTTGTTTTTTTAATGTATTGAAAGTCATCATTTTTTCACTGTGTAGAACATAATAAAGCTACAGTATGTTTGACCTCATTTGGGAAATTGGATTATTTTATTTCTAAGATGGATTAACCTGCAGTTAGCTACAAAATATAATACATAAAATGTGCTGAACTTTTATATTCATCATTCATTTTAATTGAATGAACAGCATTTAATTTTAAAACTTTGCAAATGGAGTGAAAAATGTGTTTACTTACTACACAGAAACAGTGTTACAGATGACATTTGCTAGTGAACCACAAATGCATGGCTATAAAGAGACAAATATAAAATGCAAACATTACTGAAAAGATTGGACAAATACGTTTCTGAAGTGTTATGCTTTTTATTTACTGTTTAATACAATTTTTAGTTTGAAGGTGTAACATACAAGTCAAACAATATAGAAAAAAAACATCACACTGAGGAGAAAATCAAATAAAGTGTCAAGTGTCTCCTACTGGTTTTCATGGCTAAAATAGTCCACAGTATGGGAAACAGTTATTCTGGGTAATATGCTTCACTTTTTTGTGTATCTATTGTCACAAGAATCTTACAAGTTATGGAGGCTGGGGGGACAGGTGCAGGTGACTTGACACCACTAGAAAGTTACACCCAGTTGGTTCAGAATTGACCTCTGAAATTCCAGTGGTCTTTCATTTCAGGACTTTAAATAAAATATAATACCATACCAATATCCCAAAAAAATTGATGAAGAAGCACTTACAGCCTTTTTGTGAAGATTCCTTTTGTCGGTATACTACAAGAAAAATAGTGCCTGCCTCATCCTTTCTTAATCTCTTTTGTTACATTTGTGCATAGTAGCTCATGTGTCCTCAGCTTAAACTCTTGAATCACACTCCTGACCTGCAGGTTGGCAAGTGTGAAGCCAGCTCTCGATTGTGAATACTGCAATTGTGCCCTTTGACAAAACACTAAAGCAATCTCAGCCCCAGTAGTCCTCATGAATAGATGAAAAGTCCTTTGGATGCCTATAATAGAAGAAAAGCGCTATATAAATGTGACCATTTATCAATTGAGGTTGACTTGATGATCATGACAGCTTATCATAGGTGTCTATTAGAGCAGCACAGGTGTCCTCCTCGCAACGCAAGCACAAGATGTAGAACAGAGCCGCCCTGGATTTTATAATCTGCAGCAGTTTTCTCATCATTCCTAAAAACAAAAGCAGTATCAATGAAATGTAGTAGGTGGTCATTATATGTATATTTACATGTCTTACATTTGTTTACCGCTGTAGATTAACCTTTGCTGCTGTGGTGGGATACCTTCCTTCTCCTCCACTCTTTCTTTAATTCTTTCCACCTTTAGTACAAGACAAGCATTACTCATATAATTTGATCTGAATGCTTCATTTATTAAAGCCATTGTTTAAATAACTCACCTTGTCTATTGGCTCAATATCAATCTCGATTTCTTTTCCAGTTAGTGTCTGCGATTGAAAATAAAATATACAACATTTCAGTAAAATACACCCATTTAGTTTGTTATTTACGAAAAGGCACACACATTAAAACATATATATATACATCAAATACTGTATATTAGGGGTTTATTTTATCCGTGCACAGGCGTTTGAACCTTACCTTTACTTTAATCAGCATTTTGTTGGTGTATATTCGAACCTAACTAAAATACTGAAAATGAAATTGAATGCATTTCCTGTGTTTCTACATAAAGTGACCGATCCAACACAATCACTGGTTCCGCTCGCTACAGCTCTTAACTTTTTTATTTTATTCTCATTTCGAATAAAAATCTCTTGAAAAAACAGACGTGTGGGACTCATAGAAAATAGTAATATTTGTTAAATGTTATTGAAAAAAAATCTGTCAAGTGCGCCATGTCAATTTTCTTCCATTTGTAGTTTTTTGTCAGATACATGTAGTGTTGGGACGAGCTGAAAGAACTACAAAGCGGGTAACCCCTTTAGCTTCAGCAGTGTGGAAGGAAGCGGAGTGGGAAGGGTCATACTTCGAAACAGCGAGTTCCTCTCTGAATTCATTGGTAATATACTCTAATTCTTGTTACATGTGTGGTATTCATTATAACCAAAATGTTCCGACTGTATTGTCCTTTTACATGTTTTTCAACCATGTTCTTTTAATGGATGTTATGGTTTCGTGTGCAATGGGCGCTTCCGTAGCTTTGACCAACCTTGCTTTTCCGCGTCACCTATAATATTACTTTTCGACCCGTTCCACGTGTTTATCGCCTGCTACCGCTGACGTCTGTCATTATTGTGTAATTACAGTCCATTACTGTGTTTCTGAATACATTGCATGTGTTTACCTTGGTATTATATGGTTTTAGCCTTAACCGTTTTGAGGACATTTGATTTACCATTGAAATTATACGATATTTTAAAATTGCATTATTCTTCCTTCTATTTTGTGATGATGTTATGATCATAATGAATGTTAATATTATTATGAGTATAAGTGATAATTTCTCATTAATAATATATATGACACCCACTATTAACTGTAGCAATTATTAGTTATAGGGCCAATGGAAGTAATGATCATTAATAGCCACAGCACTGGTGAATCTATCTTTTGAGGAAATACAATGCAATGCAAACGATGGAGTATGTCTGTTCTGTCTGAAAACCACAGACTCGAGTCTTTCTGATACGTATATTTTGACAAAATAGACCTTTGCTACAAGACTATCCATATTCAGAATGCCACGCATTGAGAATGACATCAAGTTGGACTTCAAAGATGTTCTCCTACGCCCAAAAAGGAGCACACTCAAGTCTCGGAGTGAGGTGAGTAAAAACCTAACACCGTGACCTTATACACGAATGAACGTAACCATTCTCTGCTTATTAAAAACATAAAATATAATCTTCTCAATTGAATATGCATAAACATAGGATTTTCAATATGTATGAACATATAACATGTAAATCCCGTTTGTAAAATACTAAAATGATTACCGGTACACAACAGCACATTTTCTATTATTTTTCAACTTAACATTTTCCAATTACAAGTGCTTTCACCTATATGTTTTAATAAAGTTTTAATTTTCAATTATTACTATAAGAAATAGTAAATATATGCATGCTTTTTAATTACTAATGACAGGTGGACTTAATGAGAAGCTTCACCTTCAGGAATTCAAAGGGCAGCTACTCCGGAATCCCCATCGTTGCTGCCAACATGGACACAGTTGGGACCTTTGAGATGGCTTTAGCTTTACACCGGGTCAGTCTAAACTTCATAAAACCCACCTTTCTACCACCAGTGATAGCTTTAGAAATCACTAAATATCCTTAATTTTGTTAGCTCCATTAACATTGTTTATGCTTTGTTCTTTTTCAGTTTAGTCTTTTAAAACAACAGTTCACAAGCACTACTCACTATTGATGACTGGAAAGAGTTTGCCAAGGCCCACCCAGAATGTATCGAGGTGAGAATCAATCTATTTCTTTGTGCTAAAAAAAGTTTAAATGCTCATGATATTGACATTTTTTATTTTTGTGATTTAGAGGTTGTAGCCGTCAGCACAGGGACTGGCGAAGGAGATTTTGATAGAATTTCAGGAATTGTTGAAGCGGTGCCCCAGCTGAAGTATTTATGCGATAGACGTGGCTAATGGATACTCTGCAACACTTTGTCCACTTTGTCAAAGATGTACGAAATAAATTCCCTTCACACACCATCATGGAATGTTTATCCGTTAGCTCCACATATAAAAATACAGCCAATATGGATTCTGATCTTTATGTCTGTTTGGTTTTAGGCAGGAAATGTTGTGACGGGAGAGATGGTAGAGGAATTGATCCTGGCTGGTGCAGACATAAACAAAGGTGGCATTGGACCAGGTAACTTCTAACTATGTTTTGAAGACTTGTGTAATAATAAATGTTTGTAAATGTTAATAATTATGTTTTTACAGGATCTGTGTGCACAACTCGTAAAAAGACAGGAGTCGGATATCCTCAACTAAGTGCGTCATTGAGTGTGCTGATGCAGCCCATGGTCTGGGCGGACATATTATTTCTGTTTGTATTTCTTTATTATACATGATTATTCATATTAATTTAATGCCTAAACACTAATAATTGAGTTGAATCTTGCAACACAGGATGGAGGGTGCACTTGTCCTGGAGATGTTTCAAAAGCTTTATGGTATTTTACCTTTTGTAGGATATTGAAATTGTTCTGTGGCTGTAATAACTGTTTATTTTTTGGGTATTTCAAGGTGCTGGGGCAGACTTTGTGATGCTTGGTGGAATGCTTGCTGGTCACGATGAGAGTGGCGGTGAACACTATTGAGAAGAATGGCAAGAAATTCAAGCTTTTTTATGGAATGAGCTCTGACACGGCTAATGAAAAAACATGCGGAGGTGTGTGCGGACTACAGGTACAACTTTTGATGTAAAGCAGAGCTTGTAGAGTCTATAAATACTTTCTCTCTTGTCTTTAGTTACGTATTGTTAGACTTTTCTCGTTTATTTGAGTCAGACATCTCAGGTCAGTGAGATGTGTTTACCTTCTAATGAGTGCCATGTTCCATTAGGCTGGACCATAACATAAGCTCATATCTAACATGTCACTAGGGATGGCACACAATTAAATCAGATGGAGGGGTCTAAATTTAGAAAAAACAAATAACCCGTTGATATGTAAACAGCAACGTAGAATCAAGATTGTGGGCACACAAGAACACAGAGATCTCCAGTGCAAAATACTTCCGTTATAGAAAACGCAGATGAACGAGTTGACGTGCATTTCTTTATAAGCATTTCAGAAGTGATGTTGATTGAAATGAAACACACTTACTGTACTGGGGGAGCTGGAGGAACTGTCCATCTCCTCGGGGGAGTCCTCCTCCTCCTCTGGCAGGGTGGGCATGTTGGGCAGCAGGGGGGGGCGAGAGCGTGTGTGGGGGAAGATGAAAACTGAAGAATCACTACATTTAACTTGAGATCCCTGCCACAAATGAGTCTTTTCTTCTTTGGGCTGCAAAGAACAAATGCATACATCAACTTATGTATGTGTACAGACAACCCAAACCATGATAATGTTTTTGAGCTGAGAGGAAGAGAAAGTTACATGCATTAGTTCTTCTAGCAGCCAAAAAAAAATTCCTCATTCATATAAGTGGTAGTTAAAATACCATTGGGGTAACTTGCAAAAGACATGTTATCTCTCGGAATGTATAGTAAACTACACAAGAAATACATCATAGTTTTATGTAAACTGGAAAACGGAGAAACCCTGAGATTCTTTTAGACCCATACATATATTTGAAACCAGTATCAGAATTATGACAAGTTAATAAAGACAAAAAGACAAAAAGACAGAAGAGAGGCACAGACCAGGAAATTGCTTATTTAAGCATCTCCCCGTGAGCAACATGGACACTTCCTGAGTGCATGAAGAGTGTCATTAGATAAGACATCTTTCTCAGCATGTACTAGTATTCGAATACTAGCATTGTAAATTTCCATAAGACGCGGCCGAGAACATTCACCATACCCTGTGCGATTAACGTTTTAAATGCAATCAAGTTCCACTGTTTCGAATACTTGATTTTGTAGTCTTTTTTAAAAAAATACTTTTTAATTTTGCATTGCCGATATGTACTGTGTGTTTGTGAGCAGTGTTCAAGAAAAAAAAAAAAATTATAATACACTTTATTAATAATGTAAAGACTACATTATTAGACTACATACCTAAACAAAATATTATGAGGTATACCTTTGATTTCAGTCATCTTCGTTGTCATTTAAGATGCATGGCGACATGTATTCAATCTTAAAAGTTGTGCAAAAGAAAGATGGGATGTTTGAGTGATGTAGTTTTCTTTACCCGAAATCAGGTCATAAAACGTAACTTTAAAGCTGTGATAAACAAGAGCAGGAACATTCATGACATAAACAGAGCACCTTGCACTTTCCCCTGCAGCTTGTGAGGTTAAAATTGCAGTGTAATTGTATCAGTCACATTGTTTTCTATGGGGCAAGTGAACAAGACATATGCACCAATGGAACAAACAACTATTGCAACTTATTCCAGTGACTGTGAAAAGAAAACTGTCCTTTAAACACTTCTGTGGGCCCAGATGCCGAGACCGGTGCCTCCCCCCTGTTATGTTACATAAGCCCCACTCGCTCATGCCAGATTTGTTTAAAATTTGGTTTGTGTGAAGAAGAAGAGAAAGTGGTGGCAACAGGCTGATAAAACATGACAGGACTGTGAGAAACAGGAGCCGGCCGTTACAATAAAACAGTATCATTTGAAAGACGTTTTTAGGAAAATGAGTGTACATGAAGATTGCATGTGACATCATTTAGCAGCATTAAAATCAACAGTCAAACAACATAACAAAGCCATTCTCAAAACATGAACGCATAAATCGTGGTGCAATGTACTGTCAGCGTGCGTATTACCTGGCTCCACCACTATTGTAGAAAGATGCCAATTTCTTTGCAGAAAACAAACTTTCCAGCACTTCAAACGCAAAATGTATCGTGCATAAAAAACTCCTGTTAAAAATCGCGTCTTCTTTCTATGTGGTCCTCTCCGTTCCCTGTCTTTTTTCGGCAGCAGCCTCTTTCACTCTTGGGAGCTTTGACCATTTAAGGAGAAAGGCTCTGTTCGCCTCTTTGGGCCGCTGGGCTGTGTGTGTGAGTGTGCGAGTGTGTTCCCATGCTGCTGCTGTCGCTCCAATAATCATCCCTCAATGTGAAACAAGAAGCACATAGCCGAAGAGTGGGAATGTTTTGGTGATGTTTATCAATAAGCAGCAGATTCTTATGTGGGTTTTAGAAAAGGGGCGTGTTTGTACAAGATAAAGAGATATTGAAGATCAGATAAGCAAAGGGAGAGCCACTTCCTTGGACTAGGGTAAATAAATGTTGACAATTTGTTATATGCATATTATAGGGTTACAGTATAAGAAAAAACATTATAGTTCTATTATTTATCACAAGCGAGTATACTTCATTTGGGTCATATTATAAATAGGAAAGACAAAAGGCTGGCTGAAGGAAGGCGAATATGTTACAAACACTATTTCTTACTGTTATCTAATTCAGATTAAGAACAAGTGTGATGAATGGCATTACTTCAACATACAGTACATACAAAAATGGAAAGACAAGGACCCACTTCCTAGAAAGTACGAGTCAGGTTTGTGACAATGCTAGCCACATTTAAAGACTTTTTTGAGCCCCCTAAAGACATAAAACACAATGAGTTTTCAAATTATAGCTTACTATACGAGATTATACATATTATTATATATTGATTTTATTTTAAATATATAGAGGGCCAAAGATATCTTTCAATTGGTAAGGGGGGGTTGCGGAAACCCGGACTTTGGGAACTGCTGCCTTACAGTAAACACTCTATAATAGTACTCAAAACAGAGACATAATTGCTATTTGACTGATGTTTTGAATAAATAAGTACTAATACTAATTCTAATACTAATACTAATTCTTAAAATAAATTGAAGCGTGAAACCTGACTTGGCTCTATACCAATTAAAGATGTTTCTATTCCAAATGGTTTTCTATTCCATGTTTAAACTAGGATGATGTTATGAAAGATAATACATATACCAATGAAAGCATGCTAGAATATCATCTCAGTAAGAAATAATTCAATGAAAAATGTTTTAACTGAAAACTCACAGGGCAAAATTAAGTAGGAGATCATGCTTGAAACCACACTTAGAACAAATTAGGTATCAAAGAGGCAAACTGTGCAAAAGTGTCAGATGATTTTCTTATGCAACCAAATTAAACAGATTGTTGTCACGATTGTGCCAGAGTTCTAAGCTTTAAAGAAATTGAGTTCTTACCGTACTGCCACGCTCACTTCTCCCTGCGTCACCTGTTAGAGTCAGAACACAGAGCGCTGGTGAGTTCATTTGCATTAGAGAGGAGAGACATTGTTCAATTCAAATAATATGATACAGAGAATGGAAGGTGCAAGATAGCCACAGCAACAACAAAAAAACACATTCATGAACTTACAATAAACATCAAATTTGTTAATGCTCTTGTCAAATATTTCAGGATTTGTCACAAAATATGGAACAACTGCTAGGTTCCATAACCAACGGCAACAATAACCTAGCAACCCTCCTGAACTGGTCGGAGCCCTTGCTAAAAGCTATTGGCCCAAGGAAAGCCTATTGTGTTTCACTCAAATGCATAATAATATTAAACATTAAAAAAGGATGACACTGGAATGTCATTATCGCATATCTCAGAGAATTCTCAGATAAAACTGTAGTGATTGAGAGTTTGGAGTGAAAAGTCCCCAGGTAATTTCATGAATTTAATTTCCCATGATGTTTTGGTGTAATTTATACCGTCCCCAAAATGATATGAGAAAGAAAAAAAACAATTGACAACTGCCACATGTGAGTACAATGTTTCATGAGATCTATTTAGCAACACAAACTTATATCATGATTTTAATATGTATTTAATAAATCTAAGTCCACATATGTGCTTGGTCAAATAAACTGACAACACATAGGCCTTCTATATCTAGTGCGATACAGTAAATAGACATTTGGGTTAGGGAGATAATACACAGGCAAAATGGCCAACATCGAGAATTTGAAATAGTGTTTGGAAGAAGGTGGAAGTCTGTAAAAACACATTTGAAGACTCATTGCGGTACTTAAAAGACTTCATGTTTTTGTGGAATGCTAACATCACTTTGTGTGCTTAAAAAGATGAAAGCCTCTGCTCTGACTGAATCAGATGTTTTACTTACTGATCTACATACCACCTGTCCAGTGGAGTCCTGTGGCATTACAAGAATCCTCTAAATGTCTTTTTAGAAGCATTATTTAGGGTTTTTAGCAAGAAAACGGAAAAAAGGGATGTGACATTATCCACAAAAAGAGTGTGTTTATCTGCAATGAAGGAGAAAGGTTAGACTGTATATAGAGGCTCAATGCTTGCTAGCTCCATGAAGGCCAATAGAGAAGTGCTTCATCCATCACCAGTGAGAGGGTTTGATTATGTGGAGGGAACAGTAAAAGTACATGGCTCCTACACATGAGCACAACAACCCACAACCCCGATCGTGTGATTGTTCTCACCGAAAAGTTCTGTACAACATTGGACTTAAGTCAAATCTGCTTTTTTTTTTTTTTACACACACATGCTGTTTGATTTTTACTGTTTCTGTTTCTCACAAAGAGGCAGAATACGCATGTTATTCAGGAGGTGGGGTTATGACACCATTTTCTCAGAATCATTGCAGAGAGACAGTAACCACAGAGAAAAATATGCAGAGTTTAGAACCTGGTTTAAAAAAATGTGCGTTTTCAGATCCTCATAACGCCGATTTTGGATATTACTCTAGATTGATTTGTGAATTTATTTTTGTGCATAGGCCTGAATTTGACTTAGTGTGGACAGAGCCGAGTTCCTCCACATTGCAGCCTAGATACACTGCAACAATTAATTCTGCTTCCTTACCGGGTAAATAAAATGATAAAAAAAAGTGCATTATAACTACATGCATCTGGCAAATGTTTTTCTTTTTCAGACGGAGACACATCAACTGTCTCCAGCAGTGGACACGCTTACATCTACCCTGGAGCAAGAGAAGTCTCTCATTAGTGATGCACTGAAGACTCACTCTCTGCCCTTGACCATTGGTCTCTCCCTATGGACCAATTCATATATGTATTTTTTGTGTCTTAACTGTTGATTCTCCGATCTGTATTGGTGATTTCAATGGTTTTGTTAAGTCCTCTGAGATGACTGCTGTTGTAATTTAGGGCTACACAAGAATAAGTTGTTGTTGTTGTAGACCAGGAGAAGCAAGCCACCAAAGAGGCACAGACCTACCAAACTGGTCGGTCTACTAAAACAGATAGAGGAGCTAGAAAAAAAAGCTTCAGAGTGACCAGGAGCAGACAAGGGCCTTCAAAGCACGTCACCAAGCACAGTGTAAACACTGGATGGAGTATGTCCAGAATGAGCCTCACAAAGAGCAGGAGGCCAAAGAGTGTGAGATCACTCATCTAAAACAGCAGAAGGGTTTTGCTTTTAGTGCACACGTGGAGGAAGCCAGAAAGGCTGTGTGTGGGGAGATATGAGATAAAAGAGATCCTTATTCGTCCCACAGCGGGGAAAATTTCTAATATGTGTCTACAATTAGAAGTGTGTGTAATAACTTATATTCAGTCTTTGCAGTGTAGAAAAGAAAATATGTACCCACTATCTTGTCAAGTAATGGGCAGCTTGATGAGAATTGTTTTCACTTCCCACAAAAATATAAAAATCCATTGGAAAAAAACTGAACTGTTGAGAAACCAAGTACTGATATGATTTTTGATCAAATATTTGTATCGTCAAATGAGTAGTTAATAAGGAGATATTTCTTTTCAGAACTTTTCCTATAAATGGGAGATTTGAGATGAGCTGATAATTGTTCAGTTCAGTGGCATCCAGACTGCCCAATGACCGCAGTTTCAGGGCCTTTCGGAATGCTCCAGAATGAAGTGACATGTTAACTGTTCGCATGAATGAAGGTAACAGACTTCCAGAAAACCAATGGGGAGTGTATCTAGGCTGCATGTGGAGGAACTCAGGCTCTGTCCACACCAAGTCAAATTCAGCCCTATGCACAAAAAATACTTAATATCCATACAAAATTGCCGTTATGAGGGTCTGAAGACGCACATTTTTTAAACCGGGTTCAAACTTCTGTACTTGTTGCTCTGTGGTTACTGTCTCTCTGCAATGATTCTGAGACGATTGTGTCCTCACCCCGCCTCCTGATTAGCACGCATACTGCACTTAATCTGCAAACATAGATAATAACTACTAAAATACTACAATTAGACACTGGTTCAAATCTAATTGCACTACAAAAACACAAACAAAACCCCCACTAAAATAAACAATTCTTCGAATGCAAAAATTGTGACAGTTTCTCGTTGCGGTTTTATTCTTAAAATTTAATTTAATTTTCTATTTTGTATCTGCCTCTTGCGATAAGTAAAAGTAAGGCTGCACCAACATGGAACCTCACAGTAAACTTGAATATACTGCAAGCTCAACAAAGTACTATCATAACTATCTTAGTAAAAAAAAGCACGTCAGTACATATCAACTTTGTTATATATATTTATATTCTCTTAAAAAAGGTCAGGATGTTGGCCAAGAGAAAGGACTTTCAGACAAAAGAAGAAAATGCTTTCCCATAGAGTATTATTGACACCTGTCCTGGGTCTAAAATAGAAGTCTATGATATGAAGGCAACCCATTGGAAGAAGGGCTGCCCTGACCCCTTGTGGTTGAACTGACAAAACAACTAAATAGTGAAAACAGTTTCACTGAACTTGGGAGTTTCAGTTTACTGGTGTATTTTAGCTTGATTCCAATGTAAACTATTTTACTTGAAATGTATTTGTTTTACTTCTTTTCCTTTCTGCAAGTGTAGCTGTCATACCGTTCTCCTTGAGGTCAGGAATGGCAGAGATGACCGGGAGCCTGCAGTTCTCATCGTCTCCTGACGCATCAGCCGATGATGAGGGACCTGAAGTGTCTTCCAGAGCAGTCTAGATTTTTATGACACAAATACTTTTTATTGATACAAAAATGTATGCATATCCCAAATAAACAATACACTTGTCAAGAGTGCCTCAGACTGACTCTATTTACATGATAACTACAATGTTATCAGTATTGTATAATGTTTTGGCACACATGTTTAAAGATGATTAGAAAATGCCGAATAGACAGTATTTTTAGTAAAACTGGAAAGAACAATCTGCCCCATTTGATAAAAATGAATGAATGCTATTGCAGCAAATAATAATAATGATTGCTTACTTGTGCTGGGTTAGCAGAGAGATCTAGCTGGAGCCGGTCCATCTGCCTCTCTGTACTGACGGTCCGTCCCAGAGCCTCCTTGACCTTCTGTGTGATGCTCTCCATCCTTTGCCTCACTCGGCTCACCCTCTGCTCACCCTCCTTCACTTGCTCTGCTGTATCCAGAGCCCGGTTCACCATGTCCTCCATCTTCTTCAGTGTCACCAACACTTGGTTGGCAGTCAGCTGAAATGAGTCTTGTGGAGATGATGATGCACCTGTGCCTTCCACAGGGTCAGTCTCTACCGCTACATCCTTCTGTTCTTTACCAATTGACTCCAGCAGTTCTTTCTCTGGCTCAGTGTTAGTTGCTTTATCAGCAGAAAGGACAAGGCTGCAGTGCTTTTGTTCATTAAGCAGGTCCTGAGCAGATCTTAAAGAGGCTTGCAGGAGGCAGACCTGCTCCCTCATATCAGTGATGGTCTGCTCTGCTGCTCTGAGCTTTTCCTGTGTATCAGAGAGATCCTGGTTTGGAGCCACCCCATTAGTTCCTTTCTGCGCCTTCTCTCCACTGACAGCTTTCCACCAGTTCACCACAGCCACCTTCTTGGCCTGGCGGACAGTCGTCTGATTCTCAGGATGACTTTGTTTTGCCTCTTTGTCCCGGGCTCTTGAGTGCTCCTCCACTTTCTCGCCTTTCTCCTCCCACTTCTGTAGCTCCAACTCCTGCAGCCTGAAACCACCACCATTGTTTTATAAACATCTCTATTACACAGTGTTATGCCGGCAGTTACCATGGGGCACTAAAACTGCACTTATGGCAGATACAGACGAGGACACAGAGGATAACTCTTGGACTTACGTAACTGAGATGCCCATAAATACATTGACAGGACCAGATACTTTTTAAAGTTTGCTTCACAGGGCGCAAGCTTAACAAAACCAGCCCATTACCATAAGAGGAGAGGCAGAATCTCACATACACATTGACGAGCTGCTGCTTGATGCTGGTCTGTTGTTGACAGCGTGGAGCTAATGGTCTTTCCTCCTGCATTTCAACAGGAGCAGAGTCCTGTTTGAGATTTTATTAAAACATATCAGCGTAAGCATTTACAACAATATGACAGTAAATCATTCACTGATGCCCCACTCACCCTGGCAGGATATTTATTCTGCAAAAGTTGAGATATTTCTGCATTCTTGATCTTGTGAAGGATATTTTGGATATCCTCACTGTGAAGGGCTGGGATGCTGATTTCATCCAGAGTTTTGTGATGATGCTATTGCAGTAGAATGGTAGTTAAAAAGGAACATGTTGATGGTTGGGAAAAGTAATAAAAGTAATGCCAAGTTGTACTTGTTGTGTATCCTGAATCTCACTCTTTAAAGAGCGGTGGTTTGGAGGCTCTCGATTGTATAGACTATGTGAACTGATGCAGTGTCTGTCATATCTTAGAAACAGGAAAACAACATTACAATTTAACTAATATGGAAGAAAATGTTCTTTACATCTTAATAGCATTAATACCTCAACAGAACTTGCTGTGAATTTTCGTGTAACCTCATCATCTCAGACTGTAAGCTCTATAATGTCAAACAAAACAGAGCATCCTTAAGATATACAATGTCAGACACTGTAAACAAAACTATGTTAACACACCTCAATGATGCTGTGATTTTCAACATGAGAATTCTTCATTTTACCCATTATTATGTCTTTCTGGATTGGATAATCTTTAGTTTAGTAAATTAATGTTACAAATATGGTTTTGTATAATTGTGATGTACAAACCTTTGTCACTTCTTTATCCCTCACTGTCAACATGACCAGGGTTTCCTCAAGTTCAGCCTGTACATTACAGAACATGACAAATAATAATTCCCCATTTTAAAATGACAACACAGCTGAGTGGCAAGGATGAAGTCTCTACCCTGAGTTCAGAGTTAATCTTCATCAGTTTGTTGATGCCGTCCTCTGAACATGTCCTTTCAAACATTAGTTTCTCATTCTGTAGAGAACACACCATTTTATTTGAACAGAGCACTTAGAGCAGAGTTTAATAAGCCACAGCTGTGTACATTACTGCACCTTGTCTTCCAGTCTTCTGATGTGCATTTTTAGGCATTCTATCTCTTTGTTCTGTGGAAATAAAAAATATAAAAATGCTGTGTAACACATTTTCACTAAACATTTCTTTCAGTAAGAGGATAATGACTAGTTTGGTGCAGCTGCTCTGACTTCTGCTGGCTCGCTCCTGGGCTTCTTTAAATGTCTGACGCAGCTCCTCCAGTTCTTGTGTCAAGGATCTAGTTCTAACTGCAGATCGCTGGGCACTAAACATACAAATGAAACAAAATCAGTGAACAAATTAAATGTATATTTTGATTTTAAATAGCAAAAGACAGTAGAGATTAGGCATAAAACAGTTTGCCTTGTGAGCTTCCCTCGTAGGTCTGTGACTTCCAGTGTAAGCTGGAGGTTGACATCTTCACATTGGGCCACTGTTCTTAACAGGCTGTTGTTATGTTCACTCAGTTTACGGTGCGCTTGCTTCAATTCAGCCACTGTCCGTACCAGATCTTTGCCATCACTGCAGTTGGTGCTGCAATACATAACATAAACTTTACAAATGCATATCAATTAAATTAACTATAACCAACTATCCAAACCATGAGCAAGGGTGAGTCTCTGAAGAAACACTTTTGCTTTGACATGATGAAAAATCGAGCCCTGAAAAGAAACCACTTTGTTTAAAGTACACAGTTTGATAAATATCAGATCAATGTCATAAACTCAATAAAAAGAGCTTACCATTTACAAGGTTTTTAGTCGAGTCTGGCCAAGAAACAAGACTGCTATCAACATCACAGCTGAAAGACACAGAGAGTTTACAGGAACAGAAAAGCTTTTACTGAACTTTTAGCCCAAACTTTATAGTGGAGCTTGTAAAACACCTGTCTTGGCTGCACTGACTGATCCATTCCCTCATTTTGGAGTGGAAGACCTCTCGGCTCACCGCTGGGTCCACAGAGCCAGGATCAAGGAGATGCTCAAGAGCAGAAAGGCGCTCCATGTCTGGACATTGAACTGTCATCGTCCTCATATACTGTACAATAGAGGACACCAACACATCTCCTGGAAATTGTAAAATGTAAAGAATAAAAACATACTTGAAGTAGGTTTACATGTCATTGGCCTACCCGTATTATTGACATCACAGGCATTGTACATGATGTCAAGGAGTTCATGCTCAGAAAATACAGTGCTGTTTGGCAGATCTTTGGTCTCATAACTGGAGGAATCCCAAGCTAAAAATATAGATGGTGATTGGCTTAGCTTAGTCTGAAATTAAAATCGAGTTACAAAAAAAATAGACAGATTCAGCAACTCTTACCGTCCCTGCCATTGGACATTTTGTAAGGAGTCAGTGGTGAAGCCTAAAAATACACTTTATTAATGTTTATACGTCACAACATCATACCATTTTTGGAAGTAAGAAAGCAATGAAACGTGTGGAAAGTAAAATTACCAAGCTGTCAGGATCGATTCACAAAGGGCACCATCTCATGAAAACCCTTGATAAAAAAACCAACAAAAAACATGACACTTACTTTGACCTTTCACAAATGATGTGCCTGACTTACCTCTCACTTTGGGCAAGTTCTTTAGCACTAAAGTGAACCTCTTCATGTAATATTCCCGAAGCTTTATCCATGACGTGGTAATAATCTTTCAAGGTGCTCTTGTAATATTCACAGCTTCACATCAGAACCAGCTGGCATCCAGGACTCCTCCTCCTCCTCAGAGCACGCTCTTCGTCCACAATAATCAAGATTATCAACATTATTATATAATCCAGATATCAGATTCCAAAGTCACTCTTTCCTTATTGAGTATGGCTAAATTATATTATCAAAATACACAAGAAAGTATAATGTGTCGTCATTTTTAAGTCTTAAAATTAAGCTATGTGATACTAAATTAAATACAACTTAAATATTACCATATTATAGTGAAAATGAGAATCCCTTTCGCAAATAAAGATACATAATACACTTATGCGCTCTGCGGAATTTACCACGCTTGTGATGGGAACCACTTTCTGTTCCCTGTTAATCTACCCGGACCATCTATTCTGTTGCACTGTCCTCCGCTGTTTGGTTCCTCTCCTAAATATCAGCATGAAGTAGTTCAAGCGCTAAGGATTAAAGTCTAATGTTTTGATTGTAATTATTACCTCTGCACACTACAGATCAGACTCCTAATCAGCCAAGATGTCTCGTGGTTCCATCGAGATCCCACTGCGGGACACGGATGAGGTAAAAATAATAATACTTTACTCTGTACGAGCCGTGTAGCATTAGCATTCACAATATCGCTAGCGGTTAATCATAACTTTACATTCTACCAATAGTTCAATATTTCTATGTTCAAGCACAATTTGAAAATAAAGTTTTTTATTTTGCGAAATATTATATTTATCTTTCCCTTGTACTTGAAGAAATGTTCTTGTGCGATTTTCTTCACAACTGTCTTGAAATGTGTTTTCCCTCATTGGTACTTTTTGATTCTTGGCGTAAATGTGATGCTTTTTGCAGGTCATTGAGCTAGACTTTGACCAGCTGCCTGAGGGAGATGAGGTCATCAGTATTCTGAAGCAGGAGCATACACAACTTCACATATGGATTGCATTAGCGGTGAGTTAAAAACACGTACGGTAAGCACGAAAGGAAATGTACTCAAGATTGTTATTATATTTACATATTCTAAACCTGTTTTTTAGTTGGAGTACTACAAGCAAGGCAAAACTGAAGACTTTGTGAAGCTGCTGGAGGCAGCACGGATAGATGGGAACCTTGATTACAGAGATCACGAAAAAGACCAGATGACCTGTCTTGACACTTTAGCAGCTTACTATGTTCAGCAAGCACGTAAAGAGAAAAATAAAGATGCCAAGAAAGAGCTCATCACTCAAGCCACCCTTCTTTATACTATGGCAGACAAGATCATCATGTATGATCAGGTAAAGTTAAATTTTGTAAAGTGATTATAGTATCAAGTGATTGTTATAACATCGTTCTACTCTTTCAGAACCATCTTCTGGGAAGAGCCTGTTTTTGTCTGTTGGAAGGGGATAAGATGGATCAAGCCGATGCTCAGTTTCACTTTGTGCTTAATCAGTCCACCAACAACATTCCTGCTTTACTTGGTAACTTTAACAATTTCTGTATTTTTGTGTTTTATTTCCTAAAATAAAAATGTGTCTCTTCAGGTAAGGCTTGCATCTCCTTCAATAAGAAGGATTACAGAGGAGCACTTGCATACTACAAAAAAGCCCTGCGTACAAATCCTGGCTGCCCAGGTAATATGTGTTTTTATCAGAACATTACATGTTATATTTAATCTAGTTTATATGTAGCCTTACATTGTTTCACATTGTTTGCATCCAGCTGAGGTACGTCTTGGAATGGGCCACTGTTTTGTGAAGCTCAACAAGCTGGAAAAAGCCAGACTTGCTTTTGGACGGGCTCTTGATCTGAACTCGAAGTGTGTGGGTGCTCTTGTGGGTTTGGCTGTTTTGGAACTCAACAGCAAAGAAGCAGACTCGATCAAGAATGGAGTTCAGCTCCTGTCTCGCGCTTACACCATCGACCCCAGCAACCCGATGGTTCTGAACCATTTGGCCAACCATTTCTTCTTTAAAAAGGTACCCTAAACGTTTACATAGACAATAGCTTAAAATATATTCTTCTTAATTATTGTATTTGTATTTCATCACAGGATTACAGTAAAGTACAGCACTTGGCCCTACATGCTTTTCATAATACTGAAGTTGAGGCAATGCAAGCTGAGAGCTGTTACCAGTTGGCCCGATCATTTCACGTTCAGGTAATATGGACATGACTATATTTCATCTGTAATTTCTTTCTTAGATATTTATGCATATTTCATTGTTTTCATGTTTTGTTACTAGGAGGACTATGATCAAGCATTTCAGTATTATTATCAGGCAACTCAGTTTGCCTCCTCCACTTTTGTGTTACCTTTTTTTGGCCTGGGTCAGATGTATGTTTATCGAAGGGACAAAGATAATGCTGCCCAGTGCTTTGAAAAGGTTCTAAAGGCTTACCCGAATAACTATGAAACTATGAAGATTCTTGGTTCCCTCTATGCAACTTCAGATGATCAGGAAAAGCGAGACATTGCCAAAGTATGTATGCAATGTGTTTATGTTGGATGTTTGCTGAACAGCCTAAACTAACATGTTTGTATGTTATACTTTGAGGGTCATTTGAAAAAGGTCACAGAGCAATACCCGGATGATGTGGAGGCCTGGATTGAGTTGGCTCAAATCTTGGAACAGACAGACATTCAAGGCGCTTTATCGGCTTATGGGACAGCTACTCGCATTCTGCAAGAAAAAGTCCAGGCAGATGTCCCTCCTGAGATCCTCAACAATTTGGGCGCACTTCACTTCCGGCTGGGAAACCTTGGGGAAGCGAAGGTGTGTTGCAATCCCAAATGTACGGAAATAGTGAAAAAGTCACAGTGTTCACTTATACGAATGACTTTTGCAGAAATATTTCCTTGCATCTCTGGAACGCGCCAAAGCGGAGGGAGAGCACGACGAGCATTACTATAATGCCATTTCTGTCACAACATCTTACAATTTGGCTCGACTTTACGAGGCTATGTGTGAATTTCACGAGGCTGAGAAACTTTACAAAAACATCCTCAGGGAGCATCCTAACTATGTTGACTGTAAGATTTTTAAAGATGTTCAGATACTTCATTATGAAGTATGTTAATACATGAAAGATTAACTGTTCACAATTTGTCTTGCAGGTTATTTGCGACTTGGAGCTATGGCTCGTGACAAAGGAAACTTCTATGAGGCTTCAGATTGGTTCAAAGAAGCTCTGCAAATTAATCAGGTAATCTCTCGTATGTTAAATGTGAAAACAGGATACAGTTGAACTTGTGTTCAGTGTGGTGACTGTAGTGCCCTAGTGGCTGCTACAAGGCTTTAAACTAAGTCCTGAAGAAGTTCAGCTATATCCCCGTTTAACATATTTGCCTGTATGTCTCAATCTTCTCCACTTAATCTCTCATTAAAAAGATATTACATTGACAATCTTACCTCTTTTTTCTCAGGATCATCCAGATGCTTGGTCCTTGATTGGAAATCTTCATCTGGCTAAACAGGAGTGGGGTCCAGGGCAGAAGAAATTTGAGCGTATTCTAAAGCAGCCGTCAACACAAAATGACACCTATTCTATGTTGGCACTGGGTAATGTGTGGTTGCAGACACTGCACCAGCCTACCAGAGACAGGGAAAAGGTACACTTTTTATGACACTTTACGAACATTAATAGTAGTAAGTGTTGTGCTAGATTGGGAAATAACTCGAAGTGTTGCTTTTCAACAGGAGAAAAGACATCAAGACAGAGCATTGGCCATTTACAAGCAAGTCCTCCGCAATGATTCTAAGAATCTATATGCTGCAAATGGCATTGGTCAGTCTGGCTGATTATTAGTCAACACTATACTGATGAATAATTTAGTGTTTCTCATTTTCAAAATGAGATGTTTAATTTTTTTTGTTATGTTCTCTAGGTGCCGTCCTCGCCCATAAGGGCTACTTCAGAGAGGCTCGCGATGTGTTTGCTCAAGTGAGAGAAGCAACTGCAGACATTAGTGATGTCTGGCTCAATCTGGCTCACATCTATGTGGAACAGAAGCAGTACATCAGTGCTGTACAAATGGTTAGTAGTCTATATAGATATCAGACCAACTGACAGATCCTTTCAACATCCATCCATCCATCCATCCATTTTCTTCCGCTTTATCCGTTGTCGGGTCGCGGGGGCAGCAGTCTAAGCAGAGACGCCCAGACTTCCCTATCCACACACACTTCCTCCAGCTCGTCCGGGGGGACCCCAAGGCGTTCCCAGGCCAGCTGAGAGACATAGTCCCTCCAGCGTGTCCTGGGTCTTCCGCGGGGCCGCCTCCCGGTGGGACGTGCCCGGAACACCTCCCCAGGGAGGCGTCCAGGAGGCATCCGGAACAGATGCCCGAGCCACCTCAACTGGTTCCTCTCGACGTGGAGAAGCAGTGGCTCTACTCCGAGCTCCTCCCGTGTGACTGAGCTCCTCACCCTATCTCTAAGGGAGCGCCCAGCCACTCTGCGGAGGAAGCTCATTTCGACCGCTTGTATCCGCGATCTCGTTCTTTCGGTCATTACCCAAAGCTCATGACCATAGGTGAGGGAGGGAACGAAGATTGACCGGTAAATCGAGAGCTTTGCCTTTCGGCTCAGCTCCCTCTTCACCACAACGGTCCGATACAGCGACCGCATAACTGCGCACGCTGCACCGATCCGCCTGTCAATCTCACGCTCCATTCTTCCCTCACTCGTGAACAAGACCCCGAGATACTTGAACTCCTCCACTTGAGGAAGGACCTCTCCACCCACCTGCAGAGGGCAAGGCACCTTTTTCCGGTCGAGCACCATGGCCTCAGATTTGGAGGTGCTGATTCTCATCCCAGCCGCTTCACACTCGGCTGCAAACCGCCCCAGTGCATGTTGCAGGTCCTGGTTCGTTGGAGCCAACAGGACAACATCGTCCGCAAACAGCAGAGATGAAATCCTGTGGTCTCCGAACCGGACCCCCTCCGACCCCTGGCTGCGCCTAGATATTCTGTCCATAAATACAGTGAACAGAACCGGTGACAAAGGGCAGCCCTGTCGGAGGCCAACATTCACCGGGAACAGGTCTGACTTACTGCCGGCAATGCGAACACAGCTCTGGCTCCGGTCATACAGGGATCGAATGGCCCTCAGCAGAGGACCCCCGACCCCGTACTCCCGGAGAACCCCCCAAAGGACACCCCGGGGAACACAGTCGAACGCCTTCTCCAAATCCACAAAACACATGTGGACAGGTTGGGCGAACTCCCATGAACCCTCGAGTATCCGATGGAGAGTATAGAGCTGGTCCAGTGTTCCGCGACCGGGACGAAAACCACACTGCTCCTCCTGGATCCGAGATTCGACCATCGGCCGTAACCTCCTCTCCAGTACCCTGGAGTAGACCTTACCGGGGAGGCTGAGGAGTGTGATCCCACGATAATTGGAACACACCCTCCGGTCCCCCTTCTTGTAGAGAGGGACCACCACCCCGGTCTGCCACTCCATTGGCACTGCCCCCGATCGCCACGCGATGTTGCAGAGACGTGTCAGCCAAGACAGTCCTACAACATCCAGAGACTTTAGATAATCAGGGCGGATCTCATCCACACCCGGAGCCTTGCCACCATGGAGGCTACCAACCACCTTGGTGACCTCAGCCAGGGAGATAGATGTATCCGCCCCAACATCCTCAGCCTCTGCCTCTGTAACAGAGGACGTGACGGGGGGATTGAGGAGAACCTCAAAGTATTCCTTCCACCGCCCGACAATATCCCCAGTCGAGGTCAGCAGCTCTCCACCCGCACCGTACATGGTGTTGGCAAAGAACTGCTTCCCCCTCCTGAGGCGCCGGATGGTTTGCCAGAATCTCTTCGAGGCCGACCGATAGTCATGCTCCATGGACTCTCCGAACTCCTCCCAGTCCCGGGTTTTTGCCTCTGCAACAGCCCGGGCCGCGGCACGCTTGGCCTGCCGGTACTGGACAGCTGCCTCAGGAGTCCCCCGAACCATCATGGCTCGATAGGACTCCTTCTTCAGCCTGACAGCATCCCTTACTGCCGGTGTCCACCACCGGGTTCGGGGGTTGCCGCCGGGACCAGCACCAGAGACCTTGCGACCACAGCTACGAGCCGCCGCATCGGCGATTGAGGCAGAGAACATGGTCCACTCGGACTCCATGTCCCCCTCCTCCGCCGGGACCTGGGAGAAACTCTCCCGGAGGTGCGAGTTGAAAGTCCGTCTGACAGGGGGCTCAGCGAGACGTTCCCAGCAGACCCTCACTATACGCTTGGGTCTGCCAGGTCTGACCGGCTTCCTCCCCTGCCAGCGGATCCAACTCACGACCAGGTGATTATCGGTTGACAGCTCCGCCCCTCTCTTTACCCGAGTGTCCGAGACACGCGGTCGAAGGTCAGATGATACGACAACAAAGTCGATCATCGACCTCCGGCCTAGGGTGTCCTGGTGCCACGTGCACTGGTGGACACCCTTGTGCTCGAACATGGTGTTCGTGATGGACAAACTGTGACTGGCACAGAAGTCCAACAACTGAACACCGCTCGGGTTCAAATCAGGGGGGCCGTTCTTTCCGATCACCCCTCTCCAAGTGTCACTGGCGCCTCCCACATGGGCGTTGAAGTCCCCCAGGAGAATGACGGAGTCCCCGGGCGGTGCACCGTCCAGTACCCCTCCCAAGGACTCCAAGAAGGCCGGGTACTCTGCACTGCTGTTAGGCCCGTAGGCCGTCACAACAGTGAGAGACTTGTCCCCCACCCGGAGGCGGAGGGACGCGACCCTCTCATTCACCGGGGAGAACTCCAACACGTGGCGGCTGAGATGGGGGGCAATGAGAATGGCCACCCCAGCTCGCCGCCTGTGTGTGCGGACTGGGTCGCCGAGGTCTCCGCCTTCGACTGCCGCCCAGTCCTCTCAGCACCGCGCCACCACGGACCCCTCTGCAGGTGGTGGGCCCACAGGAGGGACTGCCCACGTCATCCCTTCGGGCTGAGCCCGGCCGGGCCCCGTGGGCTAAGGCCCGGCCACCAGGCGCTCGCATACAAGCCCCGACCCCAGGCCTGGCTCCAGGGTGGGGCCCCGGCTGCGCCATGCCGGGCGACGTCACTGCTCTCGATCCCTTCCCTTTCAACATACCATATATATATATATATATATATATATATATATATATATATATAATAAAACATTTTTTTTTTTTTTTTAGTATGAGAACTGTCTAAAGAAATTTTACAAATACCAAAACACTGAAGTTCTGCTGTACCTTGCGAGGGCACTGTTCAAATGTGGGAAACTCCACGAGTGCAAACAGATGCTCCTTAAGGTAACTGAAGCTATTCTTTAAATCCGTGTTGTACTGAATTATTACTAATTCTATACTTACAACAGGCCCGCCATGTGGCTCCGAGCGACACTGTGCTCATGTTCAACGTGGCTCTTGTACTGCAGCGCTTAGCCACTCTAGTACTCAAAGATGAGAAAAGTAACTTGAAAGCTGTGCTCAGTGCCGTCAAAGAGCTGGAACTGGCACACAGGTAATGAATCATTGCTACATTATGAATATGTTGAGGTGCTGTTAAACACCACAATTTAAACTTACCCTATGTCTCTTGCACAGATATTTCAGCTACCTTAGCAAAGCTGGGGACAAAATGCGATTTGACCTGGCTCTAGCTGCCTCTGAAGCAAGGTGAGTGTATTGGAGAGGTCCTCATGGTTTATATCTGATGAATGATTTCTCAAATGGTTATTTTGTGGTTACAGGCAGTGCTCCGATCTGCTGAGTCAGGCTCAGTATCATGTTGCTCGAGCCAGAAAGCAAGATGAGGAGGAGAGGGAGATGCGTGCCAAACAGGAGCAAGAGAGGGACTTGCTACGACAGCAGCTATTAAAAGAACAGGTTAGTGTTGATGGGCCTTCAGTAAATGGATATTTATATTAGAAAAAAATATGGCAGATTATTATTATTTTTTAATCTATTATAGCAAGAAAAGCGCAGCAGAGTCGCTGAGGAACAAAAGAAGCTCTTGGAACAGAGAGCTTTGTATGTGGAAAAGACCAAGAACCTGCTGTCTTTCGCAGACGGACCAAAAGAAGTGGCTAAAGAGAAAAAGAAGGGCGGTGGAGGACGTGTAAGTGTTCAGTTTTGCGGCGTTCAAACCTAAAGTTCAAACAAGTATCTTTACATTTCAAAACTGTCTGTAGCGCAAGAAAGGAGGTGACATGGATGAGTTTGTTAATGATGACTCTGATGAAGACCTTCCACTCAAAAAGAAGAAGAAAAGAAAGGGCAGCGGTAGCGAGAATGACGGCGATGCTGATGGAGAGAAGAAATCGCGTAAAAGGAAGAAGAGGTAGTGCAAAGAAAGCTTTTTATTAATTATAATCATGTATGAATAGATAAACACTGGCTGTATATTTTAGACCTGCCAGAAGTGGAGGAGATGATAGTGATGAAGGAGAATCGAGACCTAAAAAGCAGCGGAAACCTAAAGAACGTAAAAAGATGCCCAAGGTTTGTACACCACTTATTCCATAATTTAAATTAGGAAAGTTTTACTTTTGATAATCATTTATATTCCTACTTCTTTTAGCCCCAGCCAGAGCGCCTGCCGCCGTCACTCAAGGGAAAAATCAAATCCAAAGCTATCATTTCGTCATCTGACTCTTCTTCAGATGAGGATGGATTAAAGATAGCTGAAGACAGGTAAAAGATTTGAGTTTAAAGCAGGGGCCATCAATGTGCGACTCATGTGACCATCACATGTATAAACAAACTTGTGCTGTATTCACTTTAGGGATGTAAATCGGTGACCGTTTAACCGGTGGTTGACCGTCACAGCGTTAACCGGTCAAAGCTGTCGGTTAAAAAAAGAGAGGGGAGATCTCTTAATAACGCTATTTTAAGCACTATTTGCACGGTGAGACGAGCGGGTCCGTCTCTGTGTGCGCCAATGTATTAGTGAACTCTGGGCCGACTTTCATGCCAAACGTGCCACATATGCACGCACACACACACACATTTTTTCCCCCTCTCCATTGATACGTAACATCCACACGCATCATCTCTCCCCTCTTTTACTAGTCCGCCAAAGTTGCACACGGGTACCGCCCAAAGGATCCTCGCAAATACGCGGCTTCAGTCAAACCACATGGAACATGTTTGTGCTGCTGGTCCTTGGTATTAGATCAGCTCCACACACATCACTTGTATTTAAACTTTAGCCGTGAACGAGCCGTCGTTTGCTGCTAAAAAGCTTTAACCCGCAGCACAGAAGAATGGGAAGATTCAAAAAGCAGTTCTCTGTGCGCAAAGGTGCCGAAGCTGTTGCGAGTTTTGGCGCCGCTGTCTCGGCTTTGATCTAGTAGAACGTAGAGCTGCATTTATGAAAAGTACGCAGCTCAAAATGTTTGTTATTTCAAAGAACTTGGAATATTTTAATCTATGTAGTTAACGTAGATTAATGAGGCTAGAGCCTCGGTCATGAAAATTCAATGTTTTTTACATGCCTAATTCACTTCAATAGGAGAAAGGACCTAGACCTAATGTAGCCAAGGGACATGACAGGATATCGAGTTGTATTGCATGCACATGTTATGAACTTGAACGTATATAATGACCAAATGTCTTTATGCTCACCCCTTCTTTTGCCTTTTCAATGCTGCTGAGCAATGTTGATCAGCCTTTTTGCTATGTTTGTGAAAAAATGGATGACCCAAGTATTATTTTTGACAGAAATCGGGACAGTGGATCAGGGTCTGAAGATGAGGTCGGCCATAATAAGCGCATTGCCTCAGATAGTGACTCTGATGGAGGAAAGAACCGCTCGGGCAGCGAGGCGGGGAGTCCTCCACGATCTGCCGGCTCTGATGACTCAGGAAGCGACCGTCCAGTGAAGAAGAGGAGGAGGGTGCAGCCGCAGTCCGACTCCGACCAGTCAGACAACGAGAGCAAGAGAAGCCGCTCTGGGTCTGAGTCTCGTGCTGCGTCTCCAGCTCCGGCCTCAGGCCATGGATCTGAAGCTGGGTCTGACATTGAGGCGTCACCGCGGCGATCAGAAAATGCTTCTGAACCAGAAGCTTCCAATAATGACAGTGATTAAATAAACTTTTCTTTATTCCGACTTTCCTAAATGGTTTATACTGATTGAAAGGGTAGTCATCTGTTTATGTAGTCAAATTCTTTAAAAAGAAATCTTTCAATTGTTGACCTGCGTTTGTCTTCTACTTGCATTAAACTTCACTTTGTTTTGTCAACTATGTGCAGTATTGTGCACAAATCAATTGAACAGAATTAAAAAGCATTAGCATTTTTGGATGAGACAATGGGGGCATGGACTAAAACTCAAGTTCTAAAGCAGTGCTAATTTGGCAAGTAAAACCATTTTGAAATAAAATTGCAGTATTTTCCTGTGGGACTCTTGTATTCTTCACTTTTAAAAAAAACCTTTGTTACTGAACAGCAACTTTACAGCAGACACGCATGGTACAGGCTGAAGATAATGCTCATTTTGCCTAACTTTGTGAACGTCCAGTCAATTTAAGTGGTGCACTAAGCATGCATACGAACACTGACATTTCACACAGAATTCACTTATGTGGGAAACTGCTGTAGCCACAGCTGCCCTGGGCTGACAAGTGAGGCAACCAATCTGCTATTGACCCATCAGATCACTAATCACAATGTACCAGGTTAATAGCTTTATTTGGACACTCAGGCGCTGCACATGTTCTTTCACTCCATACTCTGGGGATACACTATTAGAGCTAGCTGCCCTGGAGCACACGACAGAAGGGAGGCAACTAGTACGACTGACCACCAGACTCATACTAAGCAATGTGGGTAAAGTTTGGCACCTGGTGTTCCCAGAGGTCTCCCATCACAGTACCCTGCTTAGCTTCAGAGGTCTGGTTTTCACATGCAGGTTTGGCCACGTTAATGTATCTAATCAAGGACACAATTCATATTCCTAGGACAGTCAGATTACAGGGCAAGAACGTAACACTTCAATGATCCTGTGCTAGCATGAGTCCTTAAAGTCTAAATAAATAACAGGCGTTGCTCTCACATGACCCAGAGCTTACAATATTTAAAAACTAAGTATTGGCACAGGCTGCTTGACTATTCATTGAAACTGAATAAACATGGACAGAATTCATTGTTAGACTTTATTAAAGGTTGCTCCATAGCTGTACACCAAGGCTTTGAAGCACATGGCATAAACAGTGATATTAAAAAGCCCAAGTTTACACATACATAATTCCTGCAATTTCATGAAGTTAAAAAGATCATATTAAAACTTAAAAATCACCACTTTTGGGATGGTGAACAACTGCAGCACAGGAAACTTAAACCTTTGGCTGTCTCGGCATGTCCAGACTGAGACATTCAAGTATAGTCCGATACTTTAGAGGTATATCCATCTGATAAATTAAAGGCCACACAAATTACCAAGCACAAAAAGATTCATACAAAACGCAATTACCTAAAGTAAAACTGCAACCACATTGTGCAAATAAAAAAAGACTATTACTGAAAACAAATTTATGTTCTTAAAATAAAGCTTGCTTTCAAACACATGAAACCATTACCACAACTAGCCATTGTAAAAGATAGTTTTACAAATCAAGGAGAGTGTAAATCTATTGCACATCTCATGATGCTTGGCAAAGTGCATCTCAAAACGGATTTTAACAAGCAAAGATTACGTGGAAAAAGCCCTTGACGCTTTGAGCCTTCTCTTGTAAACAGTTCTTATATCTGTGGTTAGCACTTAGTGACCAAGTGACAACAGGTTAGATCTGATGCTGGTGCATTTGCCTGCAATATACCATCTGTAAAAACTCCCAAACAGGGATGTCTAGATAAATTGTTGATTCTGGGTTGATGAGTCACTGTGGAATGAAGTGTAACAGTGGTTGAATAATACTAACAAAAACAAAAACGACAGAACAAGATTGAGGGGGAGAAAAAAAATAAAGTATTGAAAAGGAAAAAAAAAAAGTTACATGGCTTTTGCCCTGCTCTCAGTAATCCTCGTCATCAGACTCTTCCTCCTCTGCAGTCTCCAACCAAGTCAACCACTGGTTTACCTGCAGCACAAACATTCACACCCTTACAAATCAAGAACAATTAGATACCAGAGATTGAAAACAAACAAAAGTTACCTGAAACAGCGCTTTTCCTTTTCCTGGATAGTCCTGGGCGATGTCCTCTTTCCATGAGAGAAAGGCCTCTTCCTCAATTATCTCCATGTCATAAAAGTGGACAAAGTAGCGGAGCAACATTCCTGGTTTTAAGAGAAGGCAGTGAGCATAAAAAAACAAATTTAAAAATACTTAAATGTAACCCATGTGAAGTCATTCCTGCTTACCTTTAGGAAAGGTTTTGCTGTTACATTGGACCTGAAGGGCATACAGGGCACTGACTTGCAGGTCAACATGGTCGTGGAGGAACTTTTGCATGACTGGTTTGAAAGACAGCAGCAGTTGCTTTTCCTCATCAAGTTGTTCTTTGCTGGGTGATGCAAGCTGCTCTTCATCATCCTCTGGGTTGATCTCATACATGATATACTGCAAAAAACTAAAAAAAAAATAAAAATAAAGGAAATTTGTAACTTAATAGAGTGCAGTTGTTCTCAAAGTGATAAGATTTAAAAGCTAAAACTCTTAAAATAAAAAAGTTGAGTTTCTCATGTATGATGATGCAATGACCTCGTTTTGACACTTCAAAAAATATTGAAACCCCTTAAATAAAAAACTACCTGGTCATAAGAATGTTGACAAAGCCTTTATCGGTGTGAAGCGCTGGAGAGATGTTGTCCTTGATCCACTTGTATATAGACTGTGGAGAAGGATCGACCTTAATCTGCTTCAACAACTCTTTTTCCAGTTTCATCAGTGGAAACAAGAAGCTTAAGCCCTTGCCCTCCAGTATTTCCAACATGCGGTCCTTGTTTTGATCAATTTCTGTTGAGAGAGAAAAGGGCATTCGCATGTAGCGGACGTACCATTGCCATTCTTTTACCCTGACCTACATTAGTGTCATTTAGTAGTTTTTTTTTGTTTTTTACATGTTGTACATACCAGGCAGCATTTTGAGCATGTTAATGTTGCTTTGTTGAAACAGGTCAGACAGCCACTCGCGGTCCTTGAGTTTGACCATCTGCTGCAGACACAAGAGGAACAGGGGGAAGTGGGAACCGTTCTCCAGGTGATGGGCCAAGTCGGACATATTAACCAGCTCTGCAATAATGGCGCGAGCTGTAAACTGTGCCAGGTAAGACTTCACCAGCGGGACCTCTTCCTCAATCTTTGGGCACTGATCGACAACAGTCAGAAGACCCTGCAGGAGGTTTTCTCCGGTCACGAGAGCGTTAGTGCACAGTGTATGGACAAAGGTGCTGGTGTGCTCCCGGTCTTCATCCGAGCGGTCGAGGGAATACACCACGACCTTGCTCACGAGCTCAGACAGGAAGTGCTTGGGAGGCTTCAAGTCCCGCACACCGTTCACAGCTTCATTGACATTTTTGTTGTTTAGGTAGTTCGACATAATAGTTTCCTGAAGAAAAACATGCAATTAGCCACATTGCAAAATGAGTAAATGTTGCGGAAAATACGTCAAGAACTTACAGTCGTTTTGCGCAACTCCTCCTTTGTCGGTGGTGCCTTTTTGTTAGACTTTACCTTTTCTTGTATTGGCGGAGGATTGCTTCTCAAACCAAGCTGCGGAGACTAAAACACAAGGCAAAAAAACCCCCACATAAATTTCCAAAAACTTCAGCAACTTCAACTGCAGTAAACTGGAGCAACTTCAACACCACTCATTACCTGTCCTAACGGAGAAGATCCTTGGGCACTGGGAGGCATCATGGTCACCTGAGGCTGCAGTTTTGTCATCTTTTTATTCATCATAAAGGACTGAGCTGGCCTCAGACTGATCTCCTCTGCATTCACCTTCCCCTTCTTGTTAAATCTTGACCCCATATCTTTAGACTGCATCTGGCTTGAATGGTTTTGCTTGTGGGTGAAAACTGGTGAGTTCTGCCCCTAAAAATAATTAATAATAATAACTACATATAAAAATATTTAAAAAAAACTATTTTACCACTATTTTACTGTATGCAAATACCTGGTTGGTCTTATTGTAGTGCTTAGTTCCATTTTCATACGATTGCTGGTGCAGTCCATTCGAATTTCCATTGTGCCCGTTGTAGATTGGATTAGCACGATGACGACCAAAGGTGGGGGAGTAGTGGTCTTGGATGACTCCAGGGCCAGTGCCAATTCCGCTTCCTGTAGAAGTCCAAAGAACACACTAAGCAGGTTTGACAGAATTATCTGCAAATACAAGTTTGTACCTGCCAAAAACATACCAGGCATTTGTCCAAACATGTCAGCAAGGCCTCCAATCGTCTCCCTGTCAAACTTGATTTTTGACTGCATGAAAGAGTTCTCCACGAAGAAGTCATTCTTGTATCCATCGTTCTGTTGTGGAATAAAAAAACCCAACTCCTGTAAATAAGACCCGGTCAATAATCGCATGGACGACACAGCTTGGTCCTCGGCAGCGATCGAACATACAACATTTCCAGCCTTACCTTGACAGCATCTTGTCGGACCTGACTAATTGTCCTTGGCCCATTGTCCACATAGGCTTTGCGAGGAGACCAGCGATCCTCTCTCAGCTCTATGATGTTCTGTAACAGGAATCGAATCCTCGACGGCAGCTCCTTGTTGTTTGCTAGGGCCACCATTCGGCTGAAGTACTGGTTCATTAAAGCCTGGAAAAGTACACTTAAGTTCAGTACAAGTTGTCAAGTTTTAAACCCTTTGTTAAAAACTAAATTTACCTTAGCCTTATCATGGTCAAGTTTAGGACCCACAGTCTTCATTATCTGACAGAGGCATTCAAGATCTTCACCCATATCCTTGAGTTGTACTCTTCTCTTTTTCTCCAATAGCTACAGACAGACAGTCAAAAAACAGTCCCAATATCTCTAGAAGTTTGACTCAATTCAATAAAAATATTACTTACAGTCTTGATGCACCTATGGAGGATGGATTCGTGAATGAGACCAAGTTTTCCAAGTTCTCCAATGAATTTGATATTGCCCAACATCTTAATCTTTGCAATGGCCTGCTGCTCCTCTTCGTCTGTGGTGAGTGGAGCCTCGTTCTTCTCAAAGACTACATAGAGTTAAACGTATTTATTTTCAAATACTTTATTAATTTTGAGTATTACACAAAATATGTCACTTACGTTCCACATTTCTGGCTCGATTCTCAAACTCATCCTGCAGCTTGGATATGAGCAGTCTTCGAAAGGTCTTTAAAAATAAAAACAAATTCAGTATTGCACAAATTCTGCATATTTTCGGTAATATTTTAGTGAAAGATCATTTGAACCAGTCTTACTGTGCTGTGTTTGTTTGTGGCTGGGGTTTCAAGCGGTTCTTCAAAGTTGGGTGCATCTTCTGACAAGCGTTGACAAAGCTGAGCGTATAACTGACTATACTTGGGTTCTTCAAGGGCTTTGTCAACAATCTAGGAAAAGCAAAACGCCAAAAGATGTCAACCAAACAGAAATATTACTGAACAAAACATTAATACAGACCAGAAACACTCACCAACAAGATTATTCCTTTTAAGACAACCTTTGAATCAATTCCCACATTGAGAAGTTCAAAGCAAAGTTTGTCAAACTTCTCAGGTGTCAGCTTGTTGAGTATGCTGGAAAATATGATACAAGTACAATTATTACCATGAGGGCCAGCTCCAGCTCGTGGTGCCTAGGATGAGACTTAAAACCCGGGAGAACAGGGCCTTTTCTATGAAATGTGCTCTACAAATAAAGTGGATAGGAGTTGATGTACACAGAAACGCAAATGAATCAGACACTCACCCTCTCACTTTTCGGAAGATTTTGTCATTTTGTGATTTCTCTTTGGTGGATAAAACCTCTCGCCTAGTGCTTTGAGAAGGAACCCATCTCTGACTGCTATCACCTGGGGGCTTCCCCAGGGAGTCGCTGAAGACAGAAGACACATTTTTAAAATCGTTGCCCAAGTTTTTGTAGTGGATTGTCTGCAAGCTTGAAAATGCCAGGAGAATGAGCCAGATAAATAAGGAAAAGACAAATAACCTGTTGTCGTCAGTCTTGGGATAGTGCTGAGGTGCACCCCCACCTCCTCCCCTTACACTGTGATAAAACAATGGAAACAAAAGCTCAACAAAAAGAAAAAAAAAGAGAAGGCGGGGAGGGGGCTTACGTTTAATTTGTCATGTTTTTCTTACCTGAAAAGAGAAGGTCCCCCTTGTCCAATAACACACTCCACTTTGGCGGCTTGATAAGGTTTTCAGTAAAAGAATTCAGCAGAGAAAGTGGGTCAGGAGAATAGCGACCTGGAGAGAGACAAAACAAAGTGATGACACGTCAATCTATAACTTAATAATCGGGACGTTTTAACGGAATTGACCGCTTTTGTGTCCATGCCTGTTGTGTTAAGTCAAATTATGGCGCAACACATTCCAGTGGCACACGTGCAGGAAAAGTAGGGCACAGTTAGCCTAGCAGCTCCATGCTAGCAGATTTAGCAGCACACTTTTGACGGTTTAAGTCTATAGTGACCTTGACTCATCAGCTATATTCTATTGTATACCATAGTATGGAGCTTATTTTAGAACAGAACATTAAAAGAAACAATACTGCTCACCGTTTTATGTCACACAAACAACCTACCACAATCACGATACCGCTTTCTGTTTAAGTGATAGCAGTCCCGCATTAATAGTCAGAAAAAACGCCATACAGGTAATACAGTAATACCTACAGTCTATGTTTACAGCCAATTTTCACCGAGGGAGAAATGTGATATTCAACACGTACAACTCATACAATTGAGAAATTGTCGAATCAAATGTCAAAATATTCTTAAAATGTGACTTGTGAAATATGTATATTGAGTTTTTCAAGAATAATGAAATTATAGTATGGTTTATGAGGTCTTTGTTCTCAGACCGGAAGTCCTTATACGCCGACATCTTGGGGTTTTAGTGCGTTGATCCGAGGCCTAGGAGCCAAACACGCTAAAGTCTTCAATCGACAAACAGTTCTTAAATTGTGTCATGTAAATTGGCGCCTCGTTTCTTTACCAATATATTTTGATATTTCGACATTATCCGAGCGTCTAGTCCGATTATTTTTTCCCGTTTGTTTAAAGACACCGGTCGGTGCGATAGCATTAGCCTAAGGAGGAAACACAATAAATCCTACCTTTACAAAAGGGACGTCAGCGCGATTTCTCTTTTATCTACGATGAAAATAAAATGATAAAGAAGTTTATATAAGAAAATTCGAATTTTCTTCTAAAATAAGCCAGTATCAGCGTTTCCTTGTTGTTTTTCCTTGTGTTAGTTGCGTGGCTACCGGCTTGGGCGCAGGAAGAATGCTGACTGATCACACGCGTCATGGGGAGGGTTTTTGGCTTTTACTGTGGGGGTGGGATGTCCTCACCACGATCATGCCTGCCCACGGCCCACGTCACACATCAACGTGGACGTTTCGCAATAGTTTCACTTGCAATAATAAACAGACATTCTTCCTTGAGGAGAAACGTGTCACGTGCGCTCCACCGTCTGAGAGTGTTATGAGAGGTCAAGTCTTTACAAAAGTCCTCTTTTGGCCTGACACTGAAACAGTTGTTGATTTGGGCCGGTGATTAATGTCCATCAATGTTAACCTTGGACCCTCCTGCATCGGCAAGGAACAACTCAGAAATGGAAAAGTGTATTTGTTTTGTCACCTTGCCATTATTTTTCAATCAACCACACAAATGTAACATTGTTTGCCTGTGATTCTTCTGAAACATTTGAAAGAAGAGCAATTTTGCTAGACCCACATATCGAACGCAGATAGGGATACCTTTGTGTTGGAAATTGTTTGTGGACTGTAATGCTGAGAATAAAAAATATTATAGACATGGGAATGTGCCAACTCAATCACTGCGTAATAAGTTGTAGCAGCTATCGTATATTACATTTGGGAAATTGGGCTGGAATTTTGAACAATGGCTACATAATTTGACTCCTGCTGACTTAGAATTTACATTTTGCTATCACCATTCTTCTATACAATCAGTGGGAGGCTTTTGTGTTGCTAATTGATATATTATCACTAAATAGACCACATCAACACACTCAATAAAGTGAAACCGTCTGCCTTGGTCTCTGGCTGAGTTTATACGGAAGAGCCTAGTTTCCTATTTTTCTCCAACTAAATCCAGGTTGTTCTTATAATAGTTATTAAGACCATGTTTAGATTTTAACAAACCACACAATAATATGTAGGACAGTAAACAGCCCCTACATGTTATACAATGTGGCACTATGGTAGAGAAGGGTTTTCGAGTGTATGCCGTGTTCCATCCTGTTTGTTAAGTACAGCACCACAAAAGATTGTTAAAATATATGGCCTCTACAGCTGATATAATAGCCTAAGTATAACTATAGTATATCAGCTGTGCCATAAAGTCATTGTATTGTGAGATTTCATGACACTTTGAAGCAACTATGGTAAAAGTTCTAACTCTTCATTCTGCACAAGCAGCCAGTACTTTTCCACTTGATGTTTTGGTTATTTCAAGGTTGAAGCCACTGGCACCGTGCTGCTGATAGGAGGTCTACGTTTCTCCTGCTGTATATTACCACTTGCAGTTTGTAACATCCTTTGTTTGTGCTCTTGTTCATGCGCTACCATCAACAATAACACATGTCTTCTGTCTGAATTAAAGACACTATCCCAGACTTTGTCATCTTCTTATGTAAGTAAACACATGACATTTGAACACAATATTGACACTATACTGACTGCTTTATTCAACCTAATGGAAATTTGGGGAGTTGTTGCTCAGCAACAAAAAATTGTTACATTTAAAACTAACTTGCTAATGGTAGAAGTACTCAAATCTAAGAAAAAATATGTAGTTTATTCAAATCATAACAAATAAATTACATTAATAAAGTTTAAAGAAAATTCAAACTATATTATATTTTTAGCAGTTGCACTTCAATAACATTTTAGTTTGTATCAGCCTCTGCTGCTGTGACCCATCCTGCTCCACCCAGAGGCTACTCCATCTCTGCTGCTGTGACCCATCCTGCTCCACCCAGCGGCTGCATCACCTCTGCTGGTTTGACCCCTCCTACTCCACCCAGAGGCTACTCCATCTCTGCTGCTGTGACCCATCCTGCTCCACCCAGCGGCTGCATCACCTCTGCTGGTTTGACCCCTCCACTCCACCCAGAGGCTACTCCATCTCTGCTGCTGTGACCTGTCCTGCTCCACCCAGAGGCTACTCCATCTCTGCTGCTGTGACCTGAATGGCTGTTGATTATTAATTATTATTATGGTTATTATTATAATAATAATTATTATTTCACTAATGTTAGCTTTTTAGAATGCTCAATTTTATTTTATATTTTTGCTGCTATTGAACACCTGAACTTCTCCTATACGGGGGTAAATAAAGTATCTATTTATCTTCTATAAATCTATCAATCTACCTAGTTCTAGTGTAAATACATTTCTTAGAATGTGTGGCTTGCGTAACTCTTATCACTGTAAGCAGAAATGACGCTCTATGATTGTCACTGTTACTTCATCAAGATTCCCCTTTAGTTTAATACCCAACAGTTTACCACAGGTTCAAACAGGTTCTGGCGTTTAACCCTCCAAAAAATAATGGGAGTGGAGAAGATGATTGTAGCGTTTGGGTTAGAGGTAGATTTATGAGTTGATATTGTTAATATTGTTGGTATTAATTGTGTTGGTATTTGTCACCGTCACAGACAATAAAGTATAGTCCTACCTTTCCATCTTTAAACCTTTATAAGTTTATAGGGCAGTAGGTCCTCGCATGTAACCTGCCCCTAAGTCACATTTGTTTTTCCTTTGTATCATTGTAGGACAAGAATATAGTATACTGCATCCCTAAATATAACCCTTTTGTTGGGCCTAAGGCAAATGTGACCCTTGATAACAACAAATATTTCTTTAAACAAATCTAAATATCATAATGTAGGTGTCCCACTGAGCTTATCAGGTCAATATATGCCCTATATGATGAAACATACTTTTTTATAATTCAGATTTATAGCCAACATCATCAGGATCATTTATTTTATGTTTATACCACTTATTTGAATTTATCAACATTACTGTGAACTTTATCGATAATTTGAAAGTTGTCCTTCCCTTCTTTATCCTTGGGGGAGCATCAATCATTCATCAAAAGCAAATTGATGCCGCTTGCCTGATAGTAAACACTGCTCTCTGAGTTAATTAATCCCAGGGAGCCGAGAAAGTCAGCTACTCTCTATATACATATAGCACAGTCAAACCTATTTTGAATTGGTAAGACTTTTCACCAGTTCTTTTGGGTCTCTGCTCCTCATGGCTCATTCCCTTTGAAGCCCCTTTGGAAAATATGATGATGCAGTTTGAGCAAAGCTGCCTCTAAAAACACGACCTCAATCTATGCTGCATACCTATTATAGCCAGCATGTTTTAATATATGGTAACGGAATGTAAAATAGAAACCAGATAAGTACTGAGTTATATTATAAAGCCACTAGATGGTGGTGTGGTTCCTATTTTTGGAAGAATTGATTCCAGAGGTTTGCTGAACTTCTAAAACCTATGCCTTCAATTTCAGTTTACCATTTTACTAAGAATAAGTCATGTGAAGTAGACATGAAATACCATGTTATTTAATAAAAAAAATTACAGATTCAAAGCCTTCATGTTTCCTCTCCCTATTCTTTCCTAGCTGCTGGTAAACTGTGACAGACAGATGTACCTGAGACTTTATATCTTACCAGCAGCATCTGGGGTGTGGGGTGACACTCATACTGGCCCACGTACTAGATACACCTCAGGGTAAAACCATCTCTCACTGTTCCTAAAGGGTCAATATGTTTTGAAATTGTCTAATAAAGAATGTGGATGATGGAGGTGGACTTCTTCTTTGGAATGTTAATTTAATTGACATAAGTCTCCGCAGAACCACATAGGAATAGTGAATCACATAGGAACAACTAGAGTTGGGTTGAATTATTCATAAATACTTACCTGTCCATTCCCAAGGCTCCACTGACAAAGTATAGGATCAAATTTCTCCTTTCCATTCTTCTCTCTTTTGAAAATTGTCTTTATTTGTCTAATTTCCTTGACATTCTAACTTGCTTTGAGGAAAGAGTTTGGCAAAGGAAGGGTTTACATGGCATTGTGGTTGTCTGCGGCCACATGTGTCTTTGCAAATGAAAATTCTCTAAGACGCCCATGATGATTTTGCATTTAATATTCTAAGCACACAGTGTATGAATATGCTGAGGTGGAGCGACAGTGCTGTCCTGTGTGCCAAATTGTGTTGGGCTTGAGGGACTGCCTGAGTCATCAGTGACAAGGTACAGGTCTGATTCCAACTGCGCTCACTCACCTGGGGGCTGCGGCGGGGTATTAGGAGGAGATTTGTTGGAAACGAAAGACAATCCCTTGAGAAAAGTTAAAGTGTTTTTGTCTCGTAAAAAAACTGCTGAAAGTGCAGCTCAAATGAACATCCCATTTTGGGAATTAAACTGCTTCTTTGTACATTAAAGGGGAAATTGATTAGTCACTACTATCTGCAAGTGCATGTTTAGAAAAAAAGGTAGAAAGAGCTGCAGGGGTAATGACTTTCTTTCCTTAAGCTATCAGACTATCATTATACAGTAAATCAAACTGAAGAAAAATATTTGTTTTTAACCAAACTGAACCTTGGCCAATCTGGGTGAAATTAAACATATTTGGTTCAAATGGGGCGACAGTGGCTCAGTTGGTAGAGCAATAGCCTTTATGTCTGAAGGTTGTGGGGTCGAGCCCACCCTGAGACCCACTTCATGACTCCCACTGATGTCTGCTGACGTTGTGTCATTGGGCAAGACACTTGACCCCACTTTGCGTGAAGCTGAAAGATCAAGGCTATGCTGTCACTGACAGAGCAGCTATCCTCCTGTGGACTCACCACCTGCAGGAGGATCAGTGAGGGGCTGGTGCTCTGTGAACTGGGTGCAGCTCTGAATGCAACCCCCCTGACCCAGAAAACGATAAAGGGGAAGAAAATGGATGGATGGATGGTTCAAATATATATCTGTCCAAATATTGAAAATGCTGTGGTAATTGGCTGTTATACTTTTAGGCTATTCCATGTTGTTCTCCTGTCTTTTTATATGTTATCCTTGTTTGCAAGACACGGTTGTCTCCCCAAACTAACAGCTCAAACAAGGACAGCAGTGGTCAGATCAACCATGTGCCTCATGGTTATTCTGAAGTAGCTGCAAACCTCTGCAGCTGAGTTGGGGGAATCTATAATTGGGGAAAATATAGTCATCTGGCCTTTATGGACAAAAAAGAAAAGAAAAACAAAGAAGGGGACACATTTAACATGTGGAAGAAGAAGCTGTGGCTAGATGGCCGAAAGATTTTGA